AAATTTATTGCTAATTTACTCTCCTGTCAATTTATTTCTCTATTCCATGATTTCCAAGTTCTAAGAAATTTGTTTCCTACACAAAATTAACACTTAGAATCATCAGTAATGTGATGTTTCTCTCTTGAAATATGAACATATTTAATCCTTCTCACTTTAACTGATAGAATTTCAAAGTAGTTTCCTTGCCAGTCTTTGGGACAAAATGCTAAGGCTGAATGATATACATTGTCACATCTCACTCATCAGTGACCTTAGGGAGCTAATTCGTTAAAGGCAACTGAAGGCCCTTCCAAAGTAAAGTGCAGACCTGTTGGGAACTATGTGTAGCATTGTGCAGATCCAGCCTCTGTAATTGACTGACACTTGTCACTCTCAGGCCAACCTCTCTGGTGAATTGACCTTCAGTGAACCTGAGATCACTAATCTCATTTACAGACTCCTTAGCAGCTCTCAGGTACAGCCAGTGCTGAATGCTAAGTCTAGACGAGCCTTATGGCTCCAAGTAAGTGGTGCGTGGCCTGCCTAGTGCTCCTCATGGAGGCTGCGTAGTGCTCCTCATGGAGGCTGCCTAGTGCTCCCCATGGAGGCTGCCTTTCTCCACTGGAGGCCGTCACCCTGTCCTCACAGGAGTGTGTCAGAGACTTGATTGTGTACATGCAGGGTGGACTGCCCTGCAGGGTACATGCACTGATTGATCCCAGTGACACTGGCAGGACGCCTAGGCTTAACTTGTCCCAGTGCTGGGACTGGCCACTGCTCCCCTTGTTTGTGGCTCATGTGTGCACCAGTGTGTATCCTATTTACTGTTTTATTGTTGTTGTTGGAGTAGAGGAAATAGTGGTTATTTATCAAAAGATTACAGTTCAAATTTTAAACATTAACCAGTCAATCTGTGCTACAGCCAACCAACAAATAACAATTTTTCTAGTTGCTGAAAAGCAACTCAGTCTAAATACTTTCTCAGAGTTTACGAAAATGGTCCAATAAAAATATTATCTCAAGGCTCACAGAATATGACTTCAGAAAACATCTCAGGTCTTTTTATGAGTCAGAAACGATTTCTGTGCTGGGTGCTACACCCGCCCTTTGTTGAGCCTGTGTTGGAATGTTCTCAGCTGCACTCCAGTTCCATCATAAGGCAGCAGCCGTGGTTTTCACTTTGTGGTTTTGGGTGGCCAGGTTTTATTATTAATAATAAACTGTACAGTTGAGTCTTTGGCAAGCTTGCATAGGTTTCGAAGCCCTAAGAATGTAGTCCTGTGGGGAAAAGGCAGCCAGCAGACCAACACTGGGAGATGCTCTTTATGTCAAGCCTAGGCAGCTCAGCCATGAAAGGGATTCTTGTTTATGCTATCAGATGCCAATGGCAGGAGGCATCTTCAGTTTCTAAACATTTGAAAACCCAGTGTAAAATATTTGTTATCTCCTTTCTTACGGTTTTGCTTGACTTACTTTATTCAATATTTAATGAATTGTGTGTATATTTGTAAACACCTACAGTGTTAAACATTAATTCTTAATCACACTGCAGTTTACTTATTTGCTAACAAATAAGGAACTTCATTTGACTGTCAGTGAGTTCATAGAGTACATGGTATATTCTCTCAGGGAACAGCAGCATTACCTTTGTCAGCCATATTCCCATTGGGAGACACTTGGGAATCTGAGGTACCTGATGGCCATTTAGTTCCAAGAACAGGATGCCTGTCCTCTGAGCAGAATGCAGCTGGCATGGCACCATGTGTGCCTTTGTCTGCAAGCACAGCCTTGATGGGCAAGTGTCCTCACTTTGACCCAGTCTGCCATGATGCCAGGCTGGGTGGTACTCAGTGACAGAGTACATGCCTGACATGCGCCATGCTGTTCCTGGACTCTGTCTACAGCGCTGCAGTAGAGAGACATGGGTACAAAGGCTGGGGTCTCAGGTTGGTCACCCAATCCTGAGAGTGATCCCCTGTCCTATTTGTGAATCCGTGCCTTCCCCATAGGCACAGGGGAGATGAGGAAGGGTGTCATGCCGAGCCAAGTTGTAGCTCCATGACAGACTGGTCAGCACTATGCCTTGCCTACTGGGTCCCCAGCCTCTGCCCTCCCATCGGCCTCCCCACATACCCGATTGCCGTCCAGGTCTGCTATTTCTTTTCTCTTTCTACATGTCTTGACTGCATACTCAGACCTCACCTTGGTGCCTGCTGGTGTGTGAACAGTGTTGTCACCAATGGCAAGGACAGTGCTGGCACCTCTCAAGAGCTCTGAAAATCTGTCCTGTGGATAAGTGATAATCAGTTTGGATATGGTTAAAAGAAAAAGAAAACAATTTTGCTGTCCATTTATTGTGTTTCCCTCTGTTAGAGAAATACGTGGAAGGAGAGCCTGAGCCAGCAAGCAGTAGGCCATACAAAACTTTGCTTCTTAATTCTCCTTGTGGAACCCAAGAGTCAAGATGGTTCCCTCTGAACTTCAGAAATTGTGACCCTGCGCTTGATTTGATGATGTCATATGCAGGCCAAGTCAGTACATAACCTTGAACCCTAAACCTCAGCCTTGCCACCTGACTGCTGTCCCACATCACCATTCACCCAAATGATGCTGTGGAGTCAGGATGAGGGTGCAGCTCACAAGAATCACTCGGCCAGCTCTGTGAGCACTCTTGGATTCAGTAACTGCCATAGAGTCTCCCATTTTCTGAGGAGGGGTGCTGGTTTGTGGATAGATACAGGCCTTCCTCATCCTGCATACCAAGAGCTCATTGCTTTCCTACATGGCTTCCTGCCCCTTATCCATCTGGGCATCAATTTGGAAAGGCTTAGAGGGGTGGCCATCCAGGCCACTATTGTCAGTTTTACCACTGATGCCATCACCACCATCTGCCTTGTCAGAAGCATTCTCCATAGTATTAAAAAAAAAAAAAAAGCCTAATAGTTTCATCATTGTAATGGTAAAAATGCTAATTTCACTTTTGGTATATTTAGCAGTGATGTTAAGTTTGCTTTCTATCTGGGCTTGCATTTCCCTTTTCAAGTAGCTCTTCTGTGGACTTGCTCTCTGCCCCTACCACACCAAAGGGCATTTCCTTTATTGCTGATTGTAAAGATACTTAGTGTGTTTGCAGGCATTATCCTTTTCTTGGTTTCTATTGCTTGTGTTTCTGTTCAGTGTAAACCTGTTGCTTTCAGGAGTATCTAGAAATGTCACATGTAGGGCAAACATTTCCAAGTCCACGAATTGACGGACAGTTGGACTGGAGTGCCGGTGACTAGCATTGAAGTATGGTGGTTTCCTGTCAGGGTCTGCAAATCCTCCCCTGCTCCGGGTCTGTAGTACATCAACCTGGCAGTTGGTCTGCTTTGTAGGACCAGAGGATGTGTAACCAGCAGTTAACTCTGCCTTGGGCATGTGTTGAAGGTGAGAAGGAGATACTCGTTCTGATAGTAGCCACTTACAGTCCCTGTGCTGAAACGGCTCTAGAGCATGCAGGATAAAACAGGAAAATGACACTAACAAGAAGCTAGCTGAAAGGGTTACCTTTTTGGTTGGTGGTCTCAGGATTGAACCCAGGGATTGCTAGTGCCAGATGAGAGCCTCAGCGCCCCCACCCCCAATGATTATCCTCCAAACTTCAAAAGAAAAATCAATGCAGAGCTTAAAAAAAATAATGGAGGGAGGATGTGGCATGCAGTAACAAAGGAAAACACAGATTAGACTTCATAAAAAGTAGTGTGGGACATCAGACTGTCCAGATTTTGACAGGAAATGAGAGCAGGGTGGATGTGTGCCCTTCCTCTCTCCAGGTCTTCACCTGCTTATAGTTTTTATTCTACAGTCTAATGTGTAGGTTCTGAATAAATTCTAAAAGCAACCAAGCAGCTCACATGACTAGAAAAGGTCCACAGACCCCGAGCATGGCCACCCCAAAACACACACACACACACACACACACACACACACACACACACACACACACACACACACACACCTACCTCACTCCCAGGAAGAACTGAGCCAGGTGATGAAGTCAAGCCAAGATAGTCCAGTAAATGTAGGTCCCACAGCTGTCCAGAACTCCTCAAGAGTACCTGTGGAGTATCTCCATGTAGGAAGTTATCTCTGGGTTCTAGGAAGAGGGTGTGTACCCCTCATGCCTGGTGGAAGAGCCAGGCTGTCAGTGAGCAGAGATATTTTGAAAAAATGTGTTAGCAAAGTATCTTGAGTCTGTTTGTGTGATAGGATTACTCTACTGGTCCTGTGTGCTTCATGAAGTATTGGGGACCATCCAAGATGGTACCTGAATACTGTATGATGGTATTCATAGGAACCCTTAGCACATTCTTCAATAGAAGGATGAGTGGGCACAGTACTGAGGTATCTGGCAGTAGATCTGTGGAACAGACTGTGTGTGGCAAGTTGGGGCATCCTCGTGTAGTCTATTTCTGGGATCTTGTGTTCTAACGCAGCTTACAGCAATAATTACCATGCTACAAGAAAGCCCTGGATGCACAATCTCCACCTGAGTGAAATGACAATATCTGCCTGCCAAAAGAGTAGGTAGCACCCCAGGTAGGGGACAGAGGTGCACTGGGTGCAAAGAAAGCCATAGCTGTAGTGTATGTAGGACCTGGCTACCAGCTTCCCAGTAGAAGAGACCTTGTCCCCCTGGGTAGCTGTATAGGAAATTACATTTCCTTGGAACTTTAGTTTGCTGCTTGTTCCGTAGAAAGAGTGGAGCCACCATGCTTCCAGCATTTGGCACTGAAATTTAATGCAAGGATACGAAAACTCCCTGCAGAAATAAGTTGTGTTAACTGACAGAAGTCTTTCCCATGCTGTAGTCTGTGTTTCAGTAGGGTACAGCGACCTCCCCTTAAAGCTTCCTGGCCTTGGGAGAGCTCTGCAGAGGGAGATTCCCCTGCCCCCCCACCCCCACACCCACTCGCCTTGTACCTTGGCACTCCCTGCTCCACATACTTGCCTCCTCCTCACTCTGATATTCCTCCCAGGTGCTGTAGCAAGCACCGAGGTGAAGATGAAGCTGCAGGAGTTTGTTCTCAACAAGAAGAAGGCGCTGGCCCACCGGAACCTGAACCACTGCATTTCCAGCGATCCCCGCTACTGGTATGGGTGAGTGACCTGGGCCTGCTCTTGGGTACATGGCATACTCAGCACTGTGGACAGGTTTGAGTGGACCCAGTTTTTCAAAGGCCTTGTAATGTAGGGGTGGTAGAGATGCTGAACCCCCAAAGCTCTGTAGCCAGATCTGAAGGGAGGAACTCTTGGGATGGAGTGTGTCACTGTTGGCCAGATGAGGGGTGGATATCTTCAAGGTATCAAGCAGCATTCCTGCCAGTGGCCAGTCACATTTCCTAAACACCATAGGAGCACTTGCAAAGGACTTCTGTCCTAATTATCCATTGTTACTTACTCAGTTTTAATCTCATGCTTAATCAGAGTCTGTATGAACTTTGGTCTCTACACAGTAAAGAATCCACTGAAATGGATGCTCCATGGTTAGGGGATGGGTTTTGTTTTTGAGGGGGTGGGGGGTGGGATTAGAGCCGTCTGGAATTGTGCAGAGCAAAGAGAAAAAGAATCAGACTGAACAGAGTTGTCTTCAACAGAAGCAAGAATGAGGCAGGTAGGGGTGAAACATAGCATTACAGAGAGAAGAAGGGGTAGGGGAGGTGAGAAGGGCTAGGAGGCTAGTATGGACTTTGAAATGCATAGCAAGTATGAATAGGGCTTTGATATGCAACAACAGGTATGTGCCAATGGATAGCTCTATGTTCCTTTTGCCAGAGTCAAGGAAAGATAATGGAAGTCACAGAAACCCTTTTCATGGGTTTCTAAGGAATGATGATTATAGGCTTTTAGCAATCCTTCTATATAGTCCAGCTTTGGCTGAGCCTATAGTGTCACTTTTTAACATATACATTGCCTTTTGGGGAATTGGAGCTCCCTTTGGGCCTGACAGCATTTTTATGATCTAGTTACTGGGTCCTTGAGAGAGTTGGGGAGAACTGGGAAGAGATACCAACCTGGGCCAGAGCATACATAGTGGGCAGACCAAGAACAGGACCTTGTCCATCCCAAGAGATAAAAGCAACTGACTTGCCCAGGGTAAAAACAGTTTGAGTGGAGGCCCCGCCAGCATGGGCCTTTTGTGGTACAGTATAGAGCCCACTGAGGAGACTTGGCCAGTTCTCTTACAAAGCACATGGCTAATTTGAAATGATGTTATGTTGCTCTTAAGGGTCATTTCATTGCTAGAAAGAAGCAATAGGGTAGTTTTCTTAAATCAAAATGAAGCCATTAATTTCATTCGAGGGGAAAAAAAAAAAAACAGCTTTCCTAGATTGAGAATGGACAAGTGTTTCTTACTAAAACCCCACTGATCCCACTGAAGTGTCCCTTTTATTTGTATAGATGACCTCCATTGCCACAACACAACCTGGGGAGGAGCATTTGTACAGTGAGGCTCTTCATTGTCCCTTACATGCTTTGTGCTATATACACTGCAAGTCTACTAAAGCAGACTACTGGTCTTCATGTAGCTCAGAAGACGGTAAGGCAGGTGGCCCATGAGGAGTAGTGATGAGTGGTCATGGGCAGGAGGGCCCTTGAAAAAGGCAACGTAGGAGCTAGAGAGAACCTTAGTCTGTGGGTTGTCTGCAACCTCTGTTGGAGAGGTCAGCCTGGGCTTCTGCCATGTAGCAGCCCATTGTCCTACATTTACATGCAGGTGTAAGGATGGTTAGGGAGAGGCAGCCAAGGATAGCAGTGGGGATGGTGGTTTGGGGGTGGACTGCAAAGATGGAGCAGTCCAGCTTAGGGCCTATGAATTTCAGTGGGGGGTGCTGTTATAAGAAAATACAGGGCTCAAAGAGGAGACACCTTTCTCTGCAGGAAGTGGGATTTATGAATTGGGTTACAGCCCCAGGGAGGCAGTCACAGTTGTATAGACAGATGGGACAGCTGAAGCAGAAAGGCATGGGGAGAAAGGCTGACAGGACAGGGGCTGTGGAGTTAGATGTGGCTGGGAACAGGACTCAGCAAGCAGGCAGCCTGCTACAGGTGAGGCATTCCAAGGAAGGGGATTGGTACATGCCAGAAGATTGAAGGGATAATACACAGAGGGGGGAGAGTGGGAGTCCTTTTCCCAGCACTTGGTCCTGAGCAGGATGCTCCAGGGAGGCCCTAACCTGCACAAGACCCTGAAGCAGTTTGGGAGCAAGCTGGTTAGAAAGGGCAGTACTTGATATCAGATAGACCGTCCAGGAAGCCAGCTTGTTTTTATTGCATTTGATGAGCATGTAAAGATCCTAACCAACCATCATGGAAGGAACACCCATGTGCAGTGGCTGACCCATTGCAAGACGTGTTGACAGAACACAGTCTTCAAGAGAAAGAGTCGAACCACTACACAGCTTCACACATGTGCTGATTGCCGGTAGCAGCCTAAAGCTAGTGAGGTCTGAACATGAGAACTAAGCCAGCAAATCTTCTGGAAGGAAATATGAGGGGAGGGTTTCTTTCCAGCAATAAAATTACCCATAAGAGCTTAGGTGTAACAACTGGCAAAGTCTCTTCATCAGTGTCATGAGCTGTGAGCCCATTACTAGAAACAGTCAGACTCCATCAACATTTAAAACAGTTCTTTGAAAGGCACCTTTCAAGAAAAAAATCGAGCAATAGAATAGAAGGAAATCTTCAGTGTGCATCTGTAAAGTGCTTGTGAAGCCCTGCAGCTTAACACACGTGTGGCAAAGATGTTAACAGGTTTGCCACAATAGAAGCTGTGTGGATTGCCATCCCTGTGAGGTGCCACTTCTCACCTACAGGGCTAGCTAAACTTTAACAGACTAGGGGTGGCAACGTCGGGGTGGCTATTCCTGCACAGTTGGCTAGGGGGAAATTAAGTGTCCATTGGAAATGATTTAGCAGATCTTAGAATGGTACTACCACCCAGCAGTGTGCTTTCTAGTATTTGACCAGGCATGCAAGTACACACCCAGGCTTAATCTTTTTTAGCAGCTGAAACAGAAATGGCCCACAAGCCCACAGCACGTGAGTGGCCTAATAGTTTGGATCACCATGCATTGCAATTGTGTAGCAGTGTGGAGACCTTACACACAGGGGCCTTAGGTAGGGCAGGGCAGACACTTACCCCTTACCATTCTGGTCATGTGAAGCTGGGCCCAGCAAAACAAAGCTGGAGAATCACCAGCAAAGGGACAAAGGAGACAGTCTGGGATTGGGACTGTTCAAAGCCTGATTGGTGGTGATAATACATGTAGGGCAGAGAGTACCCACAATTTGAGCCTTAAAACTTTTCCTTCTGAGCCTTCACAGTGCAGTGTGGCTGTCCATGCTTTGAAATTAAGGCTTGCAGAAAATCCAGACCACAGGATTTCCATGAATAAGCTTCATGTTAATTATATGTTGAAATAGTATTTTTATATGTCAGGTTAAGTAGAATACTAAAGTTAATTTCACCCATTTCTTTTTCTCATTTTTATGTAGCTACTAGAAAATGTAAATTACATGTGTAGCTCACACATTTCTGTTGGACTCTGATGTTACACTTGATTAAAGAGTTTTATTTATTTTAAATCACTGGTATAAATCTGATGTAATGAGAAAGGCCAGTTGTTGATAGAATTTAAATGCTTGATTTTGTGTTGTTGCATTCCATATTCAAGGTGGCATTTAGGAAGAAAATAGCAGTATTTGTCTTCCTATCTGCAGTAATACAAGAACTGCCTTTATTTCTATTCTTCTATTTATGGTTTTGGTGGTGCTGGTGCCGCTGGGAATTGACCCCAGTCCTCACACATGGTAGGCAGGTAGTTTTCCACTGAGGTACATCCCCTAGACTTCCTCTTTAAAAAGGCCTGGTCAGTGAACCAGCATCTTCCTGCTGACTTTGTCAGCATCCTAAGCTAGAAATCAGGAAGAGGTAGAAGCTGTTCTATGGTCCTAACCTTTGGGTTGTAAAGGTATGTGAGTCTGTTTAGAGGGGTTGAGTATGAAGTTATAAACTTACATGGTAGGTATATAAATAGGTTTCAGTGATAGGGCATAAGGTGTAGGAGTTAGGGGGTACAAACTTAGTCAGGAATAGGATTTTGATCTTGATCACACATCTGGATCCTTCCTCAGTGGGTTTATTCCAGGATGAGGTGAATTAGCCTGGCATTTGGAGGCCACACCAAGTTTATCTGCTGGCATTTCTTCCCAAGTGGCTGCTTGTACTTGGCATGAAAGGGAGAAATGCCAAGAACCATGGGTAAGGGGGCTGCTCTGTATGCGTGAGCAGGGTATGGGGGCATGAAGATCCTCCTCTGTAATCTCTAGCCTCCCACAAAGGCGCCCCTGGCTGTGCAGCACAGCAGCAGCCCCAGTTCCAGGAGTGTTTCCAGAGGATAAGGTGGAAGGCAGCACAGACAGCTGTGGGCCTGGCTGGAGGCAAGTGATCCATAGCAGTCTCTTGTTGCAGCTCACTCACAGGCTGGCCAGAAAAGTGGGTATTAATAGTGACAGCATCTCGAGACATTCGATAGTAAGAGGAGATCCATTGGATCCGGAGTGGCCAGCTTTCCAACTGTTCTTCAGTAGGAAGAAACCCTGTCATGAAACATAAAATGTTCATTGCATGTCTTTTAATTACCATATTTAAATTATTTTCTTATAGTTAGCTATCTTTTTAACCCACACATGTGAACACACACACACACACACACACACACACAGAAAAAGACACACACACACACACACACACACACACACACACACCATTTGTGTTTGTAGGAAAGAGGAAAGGGATGCCAAGGACCCCATTGTAACTTAGCATTGAAGAAGTCTTGATGGCTGCCCTCTTAGGTTTGTCTGAGAGTCCCTTCAGTCCATTATTTGCATTATATGCTTTCAAATATACACTTGTGCACATCTGAGAGCTCCCACTCTAGCTTCACAGAACTCCAGGAACACCAGTGTAGGTGCTAAGTACTGTGTATTCAAATAAATCACTTGCCAAAGTCTAAACTAGAAAGTGGGTAAGTGTGTTTGAGTCTTTAAGCAGATCTCCTGTCTTCAAGACCACAGAATGTTTCATGCTCTCAGAGTTCAGAGGAAGGCCTGGCTATAGGCCATCTGGGGTGGCCTCAGTGCCAATTCCTGCTGCCACCTCCTCCTCCCTGCTCTGATCCTTCATCCATGTGCAGCCTTTCCCATCTGGCCATTTTTAGGACTTTGAGTTGTGTGTGGCCATTAGAAGTTCACTTCCTCTAGTGACTCCCAGGGTAGAGATTTGAGCTGCTGCTGAACTGTCCCGAAAAGGAGATGGCCAGGGGATTTGTTGTAGTGGGCATGCGTGATGGACGTATTCTGCAAAAGGAAAATCCTCAAGCGGCCCCATGCTTGAGGGTACAGGCAGATGTGGGCATTACCAGCATCTGCTAGAAGTCCATGCTGACCCCATCTCACTGCCTGCAGCCTTTCCTGTAACTTCTCATGCTTGGGCCCACTGATCTTCCATTGCTTATACCCTGAAGACAAGCCCTCTGAGGGTTTAGGAATCCCAGAGGACAGATCTGGGCAGAGAATGGACCATAGGGCACACAGACTGGCTGTAGGCACTGTCCCTTCTTTGTTTTGGTTTACTCTTACCTCACACCTGGAGAAGAGGGACTAACAGAAGGTCATGTTTCAGAATTTGGTATCCTGAGGCTTAGGATGCCTGGGCACACTGATACCTGTCTTTGCCTTTTTCCAGGAAGACACAGCACAGCTCCCTTGACCAGAGCTCTCCGCCCCAGAGTGGAGTATCAGCCTCCTACAACCACCCAGTCTTGGGAATGTATGATGCCAAAGATGACTTCCCTCTTAGGAAAACAGGTCAGTGTGCACTCTGCTGCCTGGGTTTCCTGATCCTGATGGCAGTCCAGGGACTCTGTTGAACCATGGGTAGTGCTTTGATATCTTGTGCTAATTTAAGAAACTGGCTTTTGCATTCAGACACACTTTTTAAAATGAACCTAAGCTTTCCTGCGTGATTAATCCTAAAGTAATGAGCCTCATACATGTACTCCTGCATTGTAGAACTTGGCTTCATCCCCAGAGCTCCTTGGGTAATCCCCTCTAGGGAATGTGCTCTGCTCTACAGTCCAGAACAGTAGGGTAGTTCCAGAACTAACAAACATCACTCCTGTAGATGTGCTGGCCAAGGTGGTGAGTGTGTAAGCCTCTATACAGCCTTTGGGTAGCACCCAGACAGGGATGATCAAGGTGCCCAGCATGAAGGCAAGTACCCATGAGAAAGATATGCTCGGTCCTACAGAGACACCCTCGATGGCCCACAGCTTTGTACATTAGCTCTCTTATGGACAAAGTCTATAAAGGGGACTAGACTGTTATCAAAACAAGAGGAATATGCTAGAATACAAGACAAGCCAGGACACTCTTGGTTTTCTTGGGTGATGGTTGTAGAGGACAGGGACTTTAGAGAAGGATTAAAGTGACTGTGGACAGTGCGTTGAGATGGCAAGAAGGGTGGGCTTTCTGGAGGCTATTCCAGAGGGTGTGGAGCTACATAGCCTCAGTCTCTGTGGTGGAGGTGCATGGCAGTACAGGGGAGCTCCTTCTGGCCTTCCTTCAGAAATGAGTTTTGAGGGACACACCTGCTTTTTATTAAACAAGTCAGTGAAATCCCAAGTTTCTGTTGGCTCTAAGCAAGCCTGCACTAGAGCCGTGTACAGTGGCTTCTTCACAAAGCATCTCAGAGACAAACAGGCTCACCTTTACTCCTTCCTAAACTAGGAAGTTTCAGAGGACACCAACTGCCAGGTGTCATTTGCCATGGCTTTGAACAAACAGAAACCAGGGGATGGCCAGTGTGAATGGAGGGGCATTTTAGCTCGGCCTAAACAGGATTTAACTAATATTTGAAGTGTGACATGGAATGGCCCTGTCAGGTTTGTTGCATTCCTGGTGGATAAGGTGTTGCTATAGAAGGTTGAAGACACAGTCTTAAGTGCAGAGCAGTCAGCTCCCACCAAAGGATAGACCCTTCTGAACACAGCCATGAGACAACAGGAAGAGACAGTGCATCTACTGTCCTGTCTGGCCCAGAGCACTGAAGCAGCAGGACTGCAGCTGTTATCCCTTTTCTGCAGATGGTGGTGTGTGTTCCTAGGCTCAGGAGCCTGCCAGGAATTGGCAGCACCCTCCCTGAGAGACTGTCAAAACAGGAGACAGAACACTTAGCCCACTAGCCACTGATGGTCCCCACAGCCATGTGGCCCTCCATGGTTGTCCCTGGGGCCCTAAGGCTTCTCCAGGAGTCTCAGTCTACCCACATTGGTCCTTGTTCTAGGCTGCATTTCTCTGGGGACTGTTAGAAGCCAAGCCACTGCCATGTTGACTTCTAGCCTTATCGTGTAGCCCACCTACAGACCCCACGCCCTGAGAATAGAGGAAAGAATACTTTTCACCTTCTGGAGAGGCTCCAGAAAACCTTGATTAAAGTTTGGTTACATTCCAAATTTTAAGAGGCACCACCAGCTCATGAATAATATTAATAATAAGGATTCAAGAGAAAGCATTTAACTTCCTATGATATTCAGGGAAATGGTCAGCAGATCACTGAATATGGCTTCTTCCATCCCTTGATGTTGCCATTGCTAAGCACACTTCTGTGTGTTTCTGATGAAGTGGTGATACAAAAGACACAGTGAGTGAGGTTTCCTGCATGAAGTACCATGATCAAGTTACAATGACAAACTAAAATAACTATATCTGAATAGTTCCTGGCTCTGACTTTATTATACTAATTTATGTTGACTTTCATATAGTTTTCCCATCTTAGTCCTTAAAGGATTTTAATCTTTATAAAAAGTGAAATAAATCCTTAGCAATTTTGTACTGCTTTCTTCTGTATTCCAGGCATATTTGCACAGCCCTTGGTGGGCTCCCTGGGATGGCTTCTCACTCATACTCTGTGTCTTTCTTCCTTCTCTCATGAAAATAGCATGCAGCTTGCCTGAGCTTTCTTGTGCTCAGAACCCACCTGTCTGAGTCCATCCCCAGCTACGTCACACATTAGTGGCTGAGGAGTCACTCTTACCTCCTCACCCTGCAGCTGCTCTGGGAAGCAGTTGAGTGAGTCAAGGAAGACCTAGAGGAAGGCTGTGCTCCACTTTTGCCAGCTCTTAGATGGTCTGGACTCCTTCCACCCTGTGACTTGTCCTACCAAGCCTTCCCCTCATCTCCATTTAGCAGAGGGCCACATGGAAATAACCCAGCTCAGTAGACCAGGCCCATGGCATCTGTGTGCACCTGCTGAGTGTCAAGACCATTGACATCCCAGGCTCTGCTGCCCTCACTTTCACCTTCTTCCAGGAGCTCAGAGCTAGTTTTCCAAATATAAGCTCTACTGTCAGTCTTCTCCCATAGCCCAGCCCTAACTTCCTATCAGAGGCCTTGTTCCTTTCTGTATTATTGACAACAGTGGTGTCTCTGCTGAAGAGTCCCCCTTCTATCAGAATTCTGCCTATGGTCTCAGGTGAGTTGGAGCCTGGTCCCTTCCCACTGCTTCTGGGCACCCTAAAGAATTACCTTCAAGGATGGAGAGATGGCTAAGTGCTTAAGAGCACTGGCTGATCTTTCAGGTTCACTTCCCAGCACCCATATGTCAGCTCACAACCAGCTGGAACTCCAGTCCTAGGGGAAGTTGACACCCTCTTCTGACCTCAGAAGACACTGTATGCATGTGGTATACTAACATACAAAGGGAAAACACCTATTCACAAAAAATAAAATAGAAAAAAAAATAATCAAAAATTTAAGTTATCCTTGCTGGATCTCTAAGGCCATTTTAAAGACACGGACAGTGCTTTTCAACACACAAAGGCTAAGGTGTAACAAGGACTTGATTAGATCACCGATACATACCCTCATTGATAGGATCCTTCCTACAGTTTGTGCTTGTCCTTGTCCACTTTCTGTTGCAATCACAAAATCTCAAAGACCAAATATGTATGTATGTATGTATGTATGTATGTATGTATGTATTATATATGTATGTATATGGAATAAAGAGTATCCTTAACTCTTGGCACTGGAGACCAGGACATTTAAGAACACAGACCCAGTATTCACTTGGCACTAGGCAGGGCCTTCCTGCATGTGGAAACTGGCTGTGGTAAGGAAGCAGCTTTTGCCAGTGTGGGTTTCTCGTCTCTTCTTATGAGCCTGCCTTCTCTGGGAAGCTGTTTAGGAAACCTGCTTAGTTCCACTCTCCCCAACAATCTTAAATCTGCACTTTGCCTCGCCTCAGCTGCTCATGTGACTCACGCCAGAGCTTCCCCAGGCCTCCTCCTCAGAACCCTGGCCTCTCTGAGTCCTGATCTGGCTATCTGTGTGTGTGTTGCCACATGGGTGGTAGGGAACTTCTCCCAGGATTCAAAGAGGCTAAGGTGACTTCTCACAACTTCACATATCAGCATGTTGCCCAAGCTTGACAGAACAGACACAAGGGGTTCTGGCAGGTGGGCTGGCTTGAAACTCCCAAGCTACACTTCTCTGGAAGCTGAGGGCTGCAGAGTCCAGTGTGCCATCCCATCAGGATTTCCCAATGAGTTCCCCACTAGACTGCTGCAGTTCCTGGCTTGTGCTGCCCCAGGAGTAGGGATGAAATGGGTCTGCACTTTCCTTCAGGGGATGGAGTTCTATTGTGGCCTCATAGTTTTGGGTTCCTAGATAACTGTCTGCACAGGTTTTACAAAAACCAAATCAGGTCCCAACCTCAGCTGTGCCTTTTGGACAGTGTCAGCAAAGGAATTCAGGGTGTAAGCTGTACTTTATTTAGTGCGGAGAAGCAGTCCGGCCAGTCCTTCCCGTCGTGCTTTGGAGCTTCAGTTGGCCTTCACAGAGGCTGCCAGGATCTGGCTAGTGTTTGCTCCCAGATTGTGAGATGCAGGTGTCTTAGGGTGAACAACAAAGCTAGTGATTTGGAAGCTGCGATGAGATGATGTCACGGTTGACAGCCTGAAAGGTGCCCTTGTCAGCTCTCTCGGGTTTCAGAGCAGCTCTACTTTAAAGTTACAGGAGAATTTTACAGAGACATCCTCATTGAGTGATTGTCACACTTCAGTGGTTTCTTGCTATGCCCAATAAATCAGACAGTGAGACTGTGCTCATGTCATCAGGGTGGGATGGAAGCGCACACATTGCCTTGACTCCAATGCACTGCACCCACTAATGGAGCTAGCAGGAGCTTGAGCCAACTATCAGAAGAGCCCTGCTTCCATGTTACACTTAAGTGGAAATTTACCAGCTGTGCATCTTTTAAACCACCAGTGTGATGCCCTTGACCCCAGCTGTGTCTGCCTGGCTATAACAACATCTCCTTCCATACAGCTTCTGAGCCCAACCTGAAATTACGGTCAAGGCTTAAGCAGAAAGTAGCTGAGAGACGGAGCAGCCCCCTGTTGCGCAGGAAAGATGGCCCTGTGGCCACTGCTTTAAAAAAGCGACCCCTGGATGTCACAGGTATGTCAGGGAGCAGGTAAGACCCCACCTACTCTACCCCATCCTAACACACACACGCACACACCCTGCACTCTGACACTTCTGACAAATGTGTCTCAACCCAACTCAGTTAATCCTCTTGTGCAATCCTGTTCAGTGTCCCTTACATGCCAGGCCCAGCCACCTAGAAGTGGGGGACTGGAATGGCTACCCAGGGCCTGCTGTCTGGCTTGGCTCCCCTAGAGGGCTGCCATCGGGCCCAGGTGAGAGAACTGTCTGGCCTGGCATTTCAGGGTTATACCCAGAGCTTCTCTTTAGCTGCTCTTTAGTGGTGATGGCATGTTTCTGCCTGCTTTCTGCCGCCCACAGGCATCATGGGCCTTGGAGCCTTTCAGATTGTTTCCCACCAGTATGTCCAGCTGAGCAGAGGGAGAGCAAGGAGCTCAGCTAGTCACACTTCAGTGAACAAGCTGGTGCTGGCCCCACCTGCTGGTGAACAAGCAGCAGGATTCAGCCCTCCCCACCCCAGGAAGTTCCTCCCAGCTCTTCCCTCTTAGGTTAAGTCCTTACCTCCCCCAGGGGTCACCCCATCACTCTAAAATGCTAGCTTCTAGGAAAAAGGAAGCTGTCAGAGCTGACCTGGAGGGAGTTCCCACCATGAACACACTGTTTGAAGACCAGGGTTCTAGTTGTTGGTCTGTGAGTAGCACCTGCCCAATTGGTTCGGTTTGTTTCAGTGACTGAGCTGATGTACCAAGGAAAACCAAAGGGCTTCTGTCCTGCCATCCTTGAGAGCAAGTACACAAGTCTTATATACCCACCCTCAGGACAGAGAGCTTTGTGGCCTTCTAGAGTCCAGGACTGGCTGGTAGATCTTGGATCTATGCAAAGAAGATCATGCTGCTGTGTCCCTGGGATCTCCTGTTTGTCACGGTCTTCCTTTCCCTGCAGCTATCTGTCCCCTGTCTGTTCTATTAGAAACACCTTGTTTAGAGGCAAAAGAAAGCATTAAGACCTTAAGAACTAAGAACGCATGATCATGGTCTTCATGTGGCTGTCTGTCTCCTGCTCATGCTATTAGAAATGTCTTGTCTAAGATGAAGAAGTGTTAAAATGTACACTCACCTGTCCCTCACTGAGAAGTGTAGTTAGGAGTTGTAGGGGCATGTGAGTGGAAACTGTTCCTGTTGGTGTGCAGCCTGGCTGCCTATAGCAACAGCTGGTGGGAGCCAGGGTCTCTAGCAGACTGCTCTGAGTGCCCCAGTGACTGCTGCTGCTTAGTGCCCACTGAGAGTCAGTTGAGACCAGACTGGGCACAGATACAGTGAGAAGAGGTGCCTGCTCTCTGAGATCTTGTTGTCTAAGTGAAGCATGAGCCAAGGGAGATGGCTCGGGAGGCCAGCATGACAGTACAGGTCATTGCTGAACTATAGTCTGCAAGCCACCTGGGCAGCTGCAACAGGAAAGGCTGTTTTCAGGCAACAGACAGAAAGGGATTCTAGCTAGGCTTGCTCCAAGTAGAACAAGGGAACAGCAGAGTTCCTTGAGCAGGAGAGGCCTACATCCTGCATGGAGGTCCATGACATGGGCCAGGGGACACAGCAGGCTCGCACTCTGATCCTCCCAGCTGGAATGAAGTCTGTGCTGGCTGCACAGGTGCTGCCTGGATCAGGATTCACACGGAACCCACTTCCTCACGCGCTCCACAGTGTGCACATGTGTTCACCCCATGGCTGAACGTGGACCTCTTATTGTACAACCCTGTGTCCTCCTCACTTAATAACTGTTGCCTCGTGTGCATTTCCGTAGATTTCTGGAGCCAGAATGAATAAAGCACTAGAACATCAGTTTGTTAAAAGTGAAAATCATAAAGCATGCCCACATTTTACTGCCCTGCAGTGCAGCATATGGGTAGGAGTGTTTATCTACATACCCTCAGGAGTGTGTGTCTAGGAGCACTTTCTTGGTTCTGCTGCAGCCAGAGACAGGCTGAAGTAGCAGGGAGCACAGGGTAGAGGGTGAAAGCCAGGCAAAGTACATGTGTTAAGAAGTAAAATGATAGGACCTCTTCAGTCCAGGTGGGCTCTTGATTCCAGCTGGTAAAGTTCAGGGAAATACAATCACAAAGTGCACTAGTTGGCATTTGGAGGAGAGGGACAGAAAGGATGGACTGAGTCCCATGCTCACGGTCGGTGTCTGGCATGGTTCTTACCACAAGGACCGGGTCCAGGGTTCTAGAGTGGAGGTAGGGTGGTGGCAGCTGCTAGAGGGTAAATAGTGGCCTCAGATTACTGGTGAATGACCCAGTCCACAGAGGACCAAGCCTCCCCCCATTTGCCAAGTTAAGGTGAGGATGTCTTTGCCCTAGCATACTTAAGTCCAGGGCAAGTGAAGTCACTATGTACATCTTCCTCTTGTGAGTGGGGTGAAAGGGTGCCCTCTTTAGAACTTAGACCAAGCTCCTGCCAGCTCTGGAGGGCTGTGAGCATGCTTGCTCCAGTCCGCCCCTCCTCTGTCTTGCAGGACTGTACTAATAGACAGATTTCAGAATCAGCTCTGTAGGAGCCCTATCAGCTGGGTTAGTGAGTAGCTGTGCTCTGTTAAGGAGGGGTGTCTCAGAGCCCCTTCAGTGCCCCGTTGTGTCCAAGTTTGGTACTAGACTTATCTCAGAGTGCTCTTGATAATGGAAGGATATCTGAACTGTTCAGGAAAGCAATTTGTGTGTGTTTTGAGAAGCGTTAACCAGATGATGCCATTGTCAAAACACCCGAGCCAGATATCAGAAGCTCAGTATATGCCCCTGAACATAGAGTAGCCACCCACACTGTGGTTGGAGATAGCAGCAGCCAGCCCATGGTGTGAAGAGTGTTGTATGTATCTTAAGGCTGCTGTGTGATTTCAAACCGCATCAGTGAGCTGCAGAAGCCACTGCCTGTGTTTCCTGGCCTCTAGGTAGTTCATAGTAAAGTAAGAAGATTGCATGTAAACTGAGCAGTCACAGTAGGTTGGTTTACTTTGAAATTCTTTTTATAGAGACAATGAACTTGACCTTTAGCTGTTAGAAAACCACTGGGCCTTTGTGTTCACTGGTCTTTTGTCTGAATATTAATAAGTGTTTAAGGGCTTACCTTTCTGATGTTTCAAACTATCTTGAAATTCAAAAGAGCTATGGAATGGGTACTGTGCGCATCCTAAAGGACTCAGCCATGCATCCACAGTACGTCAGCTTTGGGAGGCTCATGGGAGTTCAGCAGCAAAGCCAAGACCGAGGGAATTGTGTTACCATCCGTGCTTTGAAATCCTGCCCTATTCTGCCTGCCAGCAGACTAGGAAACAGTAGATCCCTCTATGTCTATCCAGTGCCCAACCCCAACTTCTGTCTCTCATCTACAGACTCTGCGTGCAGCAGCGCCCCTGGCTCTGGTCCCAGCTCTCCCAATAGCAGCTCTGGCAACGTCAGCACTGAAAATGGCATCACACCCACCGTGCCCAGCGCTCCAGCTGAGGTGGGTCAATCACAGACTCACACAGGGCAAGCATCCCCACCAGTATCTGACTATCCAGTGAGGACCAAAACATGGGATACCCTGGGAGGGGCCTGCCAGGCATGACTCCCCCATTCTCTTCATCGTGGTTCTGAAACAGGAGGGCATCAGTTTCCATCATACTGAGAGCTCCCAACCTGCCTTTTCCTTGATCTTTCTCCAGGTATGTTACAGGAGCAGCTGTCGTCATGCACACTGTGCTGAGGCACATGGTGCAAGCGTCAGGCACGTGAGAATGGGTGTGGAGTGTAAAAGACATACTTGAGAAATACATGATTTATAATAGCCAGCAAAACCATGTTAGGAAAACTGACATTACTGGTAGACACTAATGTGAGAGAAAGGAGATGATCAAAAACTAGACGGGTAGCTTTCTAGAACAGTAGATGCCCACACCTGCACTCACTACGGACTTTCCATCACTCCACAGTCACCCCTGACCCACATGCCTGGCCCTGCATGCAGCATCAGGGAAGGAAGGTGGGCTCTGACCAGGCTGTGGGGGAAACACAGGAGAACTCAGACTGTCCCACTGGTGCTGCTGCAGGCCAGGGTGGAGCAGAACACCCTGAAAAGAGCCTCTTGGATTGAGCCAGAGCTTCTGTGTGCTGAGTGAGTGTAGTGACTGGGAGGCTTCTTGGGAGCTCCTAGGAGTTTGTCATCAGTAGTGTCGTTACTGACTTCCTTCTTCACCATTTAGGAGTGAGTCTTCCCCCTCCAAAGAGCTGGTGAGATGCATAAGCACAGGGCTTAGCATTTTACTTTCAGGTTTCTAGAAAGTTAGAAATGAGGGTCACTGCAAGAAGTAAGGTTCACTCGGTTGTTCCAAGGTCCCTCTTACTGTATACTTCTGTTTCTCTCATCATTTGTATTCTTTAGCCTTCTAAGTTTTAACAGTCCTTCTGTAGGACTGAGGTCATGGCAGAGACCTACCTGTAATTAACCTCAGAACACAACCCTGAAACTGCCCCCTGCCCTGGGATGTTGACCCTGCTTCCCTCTTGTGGGCTGCAGGCCCAGATACACATGTGGTGTGAACAGTTAGATACATCACAGTAGTTATAACAGCTCCTCGTTTGGGTGGAACATTGCTACTCAGGGTTAAGTTGTGTGTTGATCTTTATAAAGCCTAAATATGTCAGTTGAGCTGCCACAAATCGGTAGAGCATACGGAGAATCCCCCAAAACAATAAGGTTACCCATCTTTCTCCTCAATGTCACAGGCAGAACTGGTGTTTGAGTGCTGGCTCATATGAACTGTGGCTGAGGGTTTCTCATGTGTGGGCTATGCAAGGTGGGGTCCTTGGGGAACCTCAGCTATGTCCCAAGGACCTCTTTCTGCAGACACTCATTACAAACTGCACGTGCTCACACTCCTGCAAGGTGTGCTCAGCTTCTGACCACTGGCTGCAACTCACAAAGGAACCACAGCACTCCCAGGAAGCTAACAAACTTATCCTGTAGTGGACAGAGTTCTGACGGGTTCTTCCTGCAAGCCCCCAGTGTGCTCTGCTTAAAGACAGGAGACCCCACAAATACCCATTTTGTGTGAGCAACTAAGCATAACCAAGCAAGTCTCTTTAGCTCCACAAACAAATCAGCTAAGCAGCCACCTGAGTGCTAAAAGAAATTATACCTTTGTAATGACAACTCTTTCTGCCACCTGCCTGAGTTCCGCTGCCATGTTAGGGCCCCCAAATAACACACAGAGATTAATTATTAGTTACAATGCTGCTGGCCAATGACTAGGATTTCTTATTTGCTAACTCTTTCTTAAGTATCAACCATAACCATTAATCTATATATTTTATAAAGACTTAGCTAGGACGCCAGCGGCATGCGTCCTCTCTTCTTGGGCTCACATGGAGCTCCCTTACTACATTTCCCAGAATCCTCCTTCTCTCTTAGTCCTGCCTAACTTGCTTCCCTATTGGCCAACAGTACTTTATTTATCAACCAATAAGACAAACATATACACAGAAGGACCTCCCCCACCATACCTTTGTAAACATTAGAAGCTCTGCTTATTTGTTCTCAGCTTATTACAGTACAGTGCAGCCCTGCTTTCCATGACAGCTAAAACATCATCCCTGAAGTGAGATCTAAAAGTACTTTTACTTTTGATACACGCATAGTACAAGCACACATACACACACAGCCCTTTGATGATTACTTAGATGGTGTGCATGAACTTTGTTAGCAAACTTCATGGTAGCTAGACCCCTTGCTCTGGGCCAGGTGGCACATATGAGGCAGATATCCTGCCTGCCTCCTCTCATAGCCCCCAGGCAATCAGTCTAGTGCACAGCTCCCAGGTAGCTCCCCAAGGCATCATGAAAGTCAGGGTCTCTGAGATGAACCCTAGGAAAGTGGCCACCTGTCCATTTGTAGGAAGGGAGAAATTGTTTTCAGTCCAGGGATACAGACATGTGGCCATTGTTCCTCAAAGCCTTTCAGCTTATGCTTCCCCCCTACACCCCACCGCACCACTCCATCCTCCCCCCCAGGAATGAAATTTTATTGTGCTAAGACTGTTTCTTGGCCTTAATTACATAGTACACTAAAAGAACTAAGAGATGGTGAGATTGTTTCTTCATGGTAAATACCACATAATGCCTACATACACCTGCCTCAGAGGAACCAGCATCCTGTAGTCTCATTTGTGTGCTCATCAGTATGCATTGAGGTGCCCAGCATGTAGGGAGGTGGACATGAAACATTGTTCTTCTGAGCAGGGCCTATCCATGTACTGCAAAGAGTAGATGGGCACATACTAGAGCACTCCAGACAGCTGGACCTGTCCCACCCTCCATCTCAGACAGAAACAGTAGAAAACTAACTTAAACTACAATCCTAGATGTAACACTCTGTATTCACCCTAAATGTACCCAAAACCTTAAACTTATGCTAAACCTAAAACCTAAACCTTAACCAACACTATCCTAAAGTTCCACACGGAACCCAAGTACTGACTGACTCTAACCCTGGCCTTAACTCTAAACATAGTCCTAATTCTAACCTTAACCTACCCCCAACCCTAAACCTAACACTGGCTATAACTGTAGACCTGACATGAATACTACCCCAACTCTAGCTCTCACCCTAAACTTAACCCTAGCTCATACACCACCAGCCCTAAATGAAGTTGCAACCCTACCTCCAGCCCAAACTCTACAACTAGGTCTAAAACAGCCTAACTAACTAACTTAATTGTAGCTCCTGCACTAACTTTATACCAAATTGTAACCTAACCCTATGACTAGCATGGCTGAAGCCACATACTGCTGCTGTCATGTGACTCCTTGAATGACCCTGTGGCTGTCTTCTGTGCTTGCAAGCCGTTTCCTTAGGAATGTTTCTTAACCACTGCATCCTCAAGTGGAGGCTCACAATGAAGAACAACTCACCTTTTAAGGCTTCCAAACACAGACTGCCAAATCAGTCTGCAGAAAGTACAGCTGTGTATAATCCCACAGCGGCCATGTGTTTCAGCTTTTCTAAGCTTTTAGAAAGTCTGCCAGTTTGATGATTTGGTAAATTCGTTTTTCGGTCACTGATAAAGTTGAGCGTTTTCTTTCATTTCCCTTAATATGGATTCTTATGTCATTGTCTCTTGATTTCTGCTCTCTTGTTAATTGGTCTTTGATTGACAAGTTCTTTTTATTAGTCTTTTGTCTTTCCCATACATATTGTAGGTCCTGTTGTCACCATTAACTACCTCTTATATAAGAATGGTTCTTCCTGCTCATCATACAACTTTCTCCTTAGTTTCTGCTTTTAGTGTCATTTTTAGAAAAAGTCTAACTACAAAAATATTTTTAAATGCGTTGTCCTAAATCTCCTGCCCATAGTTTTATGGTAAGTAGGAAGATTCAACCAAAACAAACAAGGCAGCAGGAGCTCATTTGGAGGGGAAAACCTCAGGGACAGGAACATTGATTCTGTACTTGTGGCATGCTTATCTGGAGGCCAGCATCTGTGCAGCCTGTTTTTGTACCAGGTACCTACATGTTAGCCCCTAATACTGTAAGTGGTGACACCCGACCCCCGCAGTCCTGGATGTGCCACTTGTGACGAAACATCTGTGGCAGACTCTGATAGTCACGAAGTCTTCTGTTTACAGACAAGCTTGGCACACAGACTTGTGACTCGAGAAGGCTCAGTCGCCCCACTCCCTCTCTACACATCTCCATCCTTACCCAACATCACCTTGGGGCTTCCTGCCACCGGCCCTGCCGCTGTAAGTTGGTCTCCGTGGGTCTGGATGACATGGGGTGGTTGTCTGCCTCCATCCCCACAGCCTGAAGAATATCCTGGTTGTACCTTTCAGGGTGCGGCGGGCCAGCAGGATACTGAGAGGCTTGCTCTCCCAGCCCTCCAGCAGCGGATCTCCTTGTTCCCTGGCACCCACCTCACCCCATACCTGAGCACCTCACCCTTGGAGCGGGATGGTGGAGCAGCTCACAACCCCCTCCTGCAGCATATGGTCCTGCTGGAGCAGGCCCCCACCCAGACACCCCTTGTCACAGGTAAGAAACATCGCCAGGTCTCTGGGCAGTTAGGTCAGTCTCATTGGCCTCTTGTAGCCCACACAACAGTAGTCACTCTGGGTCCCTGTTATGTGATACCTACCTCAGCTCTGACAAGGATCTGTGTCCTCCTTAGAAAGCTGGCCAAGAGGTAGAAGTCAATGCCAGTGCCCTCTGTTTAGCCTCCTGCTCTTCCTCAGACAGGTTTCCCTGCAGCTCAAGGAAGCCAGTGCATGGAATTCAGAATTGACTGGACAGACCCCTGATTGCTTGAGGATGATTACATTTAGAAAAATACAAGTTAGAGAAAGATAGGAAACTCGTGCAGTTTACCTAGTGAATGTGCTATAAAGAGACTGTTTAAGAAGTGACACAGAGCCCTACCTATTAGTGGCCTTGCCCAGCTGTATGTCATCCTTAGGTCTGTGGGTGACTTCCTCACAGCTATTGCTTCACTCAGAATCATGGCCAGAGCAATTTTAGGACTGGCTTGTACATGTTCCCATGTTCCCCTGGGCCAGCCTCTGACTGGTGTTTTGGAGTACCTCCACCTGCTGGTATGAGTCAATCTGTAGCACTTGGTATTGTGTTCTGCCTTGTGCTTTTTCATCTCCAATGTGCACTTGGCTCTCCCAAACCACTGATCTGGACAGAAATAGCATTTCTGGCCACTGGTATCGTCTGAGAAATAATGGACACCCCTGCCGCAGCTCTGGAGAACAGTGTCCCAGTGAACAACCATGAGTTGTTCATTATGTTCAGGCCCCTTCCTGTCTGTTCTCTGGGAAACTGCTCGCTGTGGGCTTCATCTTCCCACCTGTGAGTGAGATGCTAGCACAGAGTGATGACACTTCAGTTCCCATATGCAGCATCTGACACCCAGCAACCTGGTCGGTGTTAGTCTCCTGGTTGAGGCTGTTCCTCTTGTGTTGGATTTGGTGGTTTTGGTTTTTGTCTGTTTACTTATTTGGTCCTTTGTTACTGTTTTGATACTAAATCTTACTTTGTTGCCCAGACTAGCCTCAAACTCTGATTCTCTTGCCTCAGTCTCCTAAGTGCTAGGATGTTGCCCAGGCTAGCCTCAAACTCTGATTCTCTTCCTCAGTCTCCTAAGTGCTGGGATGTCAGACCTCCACACTCTTCCCCCAATAATTCCACCCATTCTTCCTAGTGCCCCACCTCCTCCATGTCATGTGGTCCTGATGCTGCATCTCATTGGGTTTCTTCTGTTCTCTGAGGAGAGGAACCTGAACAGGGTTTCTTATGCTCAGCCATAGCTGTCCTTAGAGGCCCAAGTTCCCTATTGTCTAGAGCAATGATAAATGATACTGTGTGTAGTGCCCAAGCCTATGAGCATTCAAGCCAAAGTCATAGTACAGCATCCCACTACTTATGAGCTGCTCATCTCAGGACAGTGCCCACTGGCAAAGGGGTCAGTCAGCTCTTAGCACAGATGCCAGCCTTCACCACAGTCCTCCTCCTGGGCCGACTGACCAGGGAAAGTATGTGGAAGCAAACATTCTTCTCTAGGCCCTTCCCACTGCTTTGAGCTCACGTCTGCCCACTGTCCTGCAGCTGCTGCCTCTGCTCTCCACCGTCTGCATGCTGTGCTCTCACTGAATTTGCCTGCTCTCTGTGAAGCCCCACTCTCCTGCCCCTGGAGAAGATTTGCTTCCTTCCCTGTGCCACCCTCCCCTCCTTTCCCGATACCACTCTGTGTCTGATACAAAGTGGTGGGATTTGTTGAAGCTCAAGGTCTTGACAGTGCCTGGGTGTCTGATGGAGACAGGGTCTCACTGTCAGTTTGTCTCTGCATTCTCTCTGGCAATTGGGTGTGTGGGAGAGCTAGAGCAGCCATCCTCTGGAACACCTGTGAGAGGTGTGGTAGGCTGATGCTAGGCTGTTGCCACACTTCTGGAGCGCTCCTCTGTCAGAGTTCCTGGAGAGCCTGCATCGATGGGATCTTCAGGTGGCCTTGCTTTCAATTACACTCTGCCCACCCTGAAGCCCAGGCTCCAAGCTAACACCCTGTAGCTGGAATTGGACCTGTTTGCAGAAAGTCATGTTTCATAGAAGGCACCTGGGCTGGCAGGCATGTGGTTTTCTCCACTGGTTACTCAACAGCGTCTCTCCCTCTCTTCTTCCTCTTCCCCTCTGCTGTTTTTTTTTCCTCCATATTATCTTCAGACTGGTATCTTTCAGGCCTGGGGGCGCTGCCCCTCCACACACAGTCCCTGGTTGGTGCGGACAGGGTGTCCCCATCCATTCACAAGTTGCGGCAGCACCGCCCCCTGGGGCGCACACAGTCAGCGCCCCTGCCGCAGAACGCACAGGCCCTGCAGCACCTGGTGATCCAGCAGCAGCACCAGCAGTTCCTGGAGAAGCACAAGCAACAGTTCCAGCAGCAGCAGCTGCACCTCAGCAAGGTGGGTCTGCCCAGCTGCCTTCCCTCTGGGACTGCTTACCTAGAGCCAGATGCCATATGCCTTGCCCCTCTGCTGACCTTGAGTGGCCAAAGCAAGGCAGGGAGAACACAAAGCACATGTTCAGGTGCGTGGTCCAAAGCCCAGGAAGCTGTGCTGCTGTGTGGAGCTGCTGTGCAGATGTGTCCACAGCCTTCCTTATAGCCCGTCTGTCTGTGAGTACACTGGGCCACAGCTGTGCAAGAAGCCTCTGCAGTGTTGTGTGGGGCAATCCACAGAGGGATTTTCTAAAGCCATTTGCCAAGTAGATCTTTAAGCAGACCTTAACCTGAGGCCTACAACTTTACAATGGCACCTAGTCCCTGAAGCATATTTTTCAAGTCACCTGGCACCTGCAATCACTTAAATGTGGGAGTTACACCATCTGAGGCAGCTTGAGACCAGGCATCCTGTAAAGGTCTGCACACTCGCAGACTGTCCAGAGCCTCTCAGCTCCATCTACAGGTGGAGGCTGTGGGAAAAGTTAGTACAGTGGTCCTGTCAAGTAGAGAAATGGAGGGACTTAATATGTTCCCATCAAATGTGTCAGTTGGGTGGCTTCAGTATGAACTCAGATGAGTGCATTGCAGCTGGCCTCCAAGAAGAATGGAAATGTCTTGCAGACGCCTCTCCACACACCTCATCTGTACTGCTCATAGCAGCCAGATGATGGATGGAACATCCCCAGGTGACATCCTGTGGTGACTGATGACAGAACACACCCCTCTTATCATGGGGTCCTGCAGCAGGTATAGACCCGAAAACCTGGCAGTTGGGAAAGTAAACCAGTCACGAATGGACCCCACTGTGTTTCACTCACAGGTATAGGCAAAGCCTTAGACCTAATGCTGTGACCCTGTAATACAGTTCCTCGTGTTGTGGTGAACCCCCAAACCATAACATTATTTCATGCTACTCCATAACTGTAATTTTGCTGCTGTTGTGAATCGTAATGCAAATGTCTGATATGCAGCCCCTGATATGCAGTGAAAAGGTTACTCAGCTCCCAAAGGGGTCACCACCCACAGGATGAAAACTGCTGCCTAAGAGGCATGAATTAAGTTAGTGGTTGTCAAGAGCTACAGTGGGTACAGCATTTATGTATGTTTAAAGGTAATGAAAATGTTCTCAAGCTAGGTTATAGTGATAGCTACAAAGTTCTGTAATGTGCTCTGCTGTTCAGTTTAAAAGTGTGGAGTTTAGGACTTAAGAATTACATTTATTCTAGATATCTGGAGTAGGATACATTCCAGAGTACTCAGTATGTGCCAGAAACTAGGAAGCAGAACCCTGTGAACAACAGCCAAACTGAGAATCAAAGTGGCTACTGACCGAGTAGGAGAGTGGTCCACACAGTGCGTGTGCACTAGGGCGGGTGGTGCCCATCCTCTGTGGGACAGAGTGGGTTCATGCAAGGTTTCATGATGCTATACGTCATGGTGTTCAGCTTAAAACTTAGAAATTATTTGTTTCAAGAATTTTTTGTTTAATATTTTTAGAATTTGATTTGACCACAGGAAACTGTAAATGAGAAAGGATTGAGATGAAGGCACCCCATCACTGGTCGTCTGCCTGTCAGGGTCCAAGCCTTTTGTGGGTTCCCCATGGAAGGTGGGAAAGGATTGGGGATGAGAGACTGTCCTGGAAGATGAGTGCATGTACAGAGGGGTCTCCAGTCTAGAGACGTCTTCAGAGGCCTAATTCCACCTACTCCCAGGATAGAGGGATGACAAGTGGCTCCTGTCCCCACCCATCCCACCTTGGTCTCTGCTGTGAGCTGAGAAGTCCAGGATCAAGCTGATTTCTCAAGGAAGTTGCTGCAGACCACATGCTCAGCACAGGCTCAGCCAGGCCCCACCTGCCATTCAAACATAATACTGTCAGTTCCCAAGTCCCTTAGCCTACAACCCTTATGCTCAGCACTCTGAATATGTTAGAAGTTGGGGGCTCCAGACATACCACCGTTTACACAGGAAAGGCATTTGCCAGGGGTGAGACTGGCTCCTGCCAAGTATGTACAATCCCAGGTGTCAAAAGCACTTTCATATCCTCGCTAATGCCAGCCTAGGCTTACTAATTTCATTATGTCACTACCTGAGTGGTGCAGTAGGAGGTATGAAGACAGGAAACACCCATTCACGTATGACATATTCTTGAAGATGACTTCAGAAGCTGGGTAATCTCACTGGGGTTTGTTACATGATTGATTTGTGATAGCAAATGACAGTTGATTGAAATGTTTATACAATGTCTTCCTGGAACTCCCAGGAAGACAGTGATGTTCTCTCTACTATGTGGTTCAGTATCAGCGTGCCCGCCCTGCTCTGTGAGAAGCTTGCTCCCTGAGGGCCATCCACTCCCTGCTTGACACAGTGGAGACCACAGCTGGGCTCACTGCCCACTGTGCATCCAGCCACCATCTTAAAGTACCAGTGCTCTGAAGATACGACATGAGTAGTTACTCATTCTAGGATTGTGTTTTCAGCTGTCTTTTGTGGCCGTTCCCATTTTCCAAGGGATAAAACAGGGCTGCTGAACTAGCTTCCCACTTGACTGCTGAGGATTCGATTGGCAGCCAGAGTACCTGACTGGGTATTGGCTCCTGACATGCACACCGCACCCGCATTAATGTGCTTCATAAAGGCATGCTAAAGGAAGAAACCTTCCAGGGAAAGAAGGCTGTCTAAGGGATGAGCGCAGTGCCCAGCCTAGCAGGGAAGCAACCCTTTTTGCTGCTGATTGTTTTGAAAAGTGGGAAGTTGTGCTCATACATGTGCCTTCCTCTTTCCATGGAAAAAGGGGTAATGAGGTGTCTCTTCCCCATTGTTGAAAGCAGTTCTTGCAGCAATGCAAGATCACTTGGTCTTTATGCAGGCAAAGTGTTGGCCTCCCTGAGTCTTACTCTCTCTTGAATATGAGAACTTGACTCCTGTGGGTAGTTTATTTATGAGAATATCCAATAGTTTTTAAATGCCTTGTGCCTGCCAGTGGGATTCTGACTCTGAACTCCAGTCTGGTGTTTTCCTCCTGCTGTTGTGGATGTGGTAATATGTATGTCCTCATCCCTTGATAACCAGGGCACTGATGTCCCAGAGGACTGGGGACGACAGAAACTGATATGTTGCGAGCTGCTGCTTGCCTCCCCCTGGCTTCTCTTGTCATATTGCCCGAGGCCAGGTTTGCTTCCCAAATCCAGCTCTGCATTAAGATCAGGTCTCTGTGGCCAAATTTCAAAAAGGGAGAGAGCATATCCCTGCTTGTGACTATGGCTCACAAAGCCTAGTTGCACCAGCACCTGCGTCAGTGCTGAGCAGAGCGACCTACTCACTGCAGGCCATGGGCCTGTTCTGCATCACTGACAGGGTTCTGAGTGGCCCCTGTTGCCATGGCAGCATCCCTCATAGGCACCCTCTGGAGGGAAGCCTAGCCAAACTGTGGCCCCTTGAGAGCCTCCCTGCTCCTGGCTCTAGAGTTCCTGCCTGCCTGGCCCCTGCCAAGGCTGTAGACCTGCCTGTGTGACACCAGTGAGCTCCCACATTGTCAGCAACCTGTACCCAACTTGGAGAGGAAGCAGGGAAGCCCCTCCTGGCAGTGGGGGCTACTTGACATATGAAGGGACAGGAAACCAAAAGCAAGAAGCCTGAGAGCTTTCCAGCATCAGGCATAGCAAATAAAAGAGCCCTACAAACATGTGCTGATGTGAACACTCACCCCGCCTTTCCCAGAGGCACCCTCCTCAGCCACAGTCAGCACTAAGATGAAAAGGCAGCTGACAGGAGCTCCTGTCCAAGGGTTCTTAGGGGACATTTCTTTACCTTTTGTGTCACTTTCAGTATCGCCTAAATTAACACAGCAGATTCCAGCCTTTAGGAAAATTGGATGTTGTCCGGTGCAGCCCTGGAACTGTAATCTCTGAGAAACAGAGGGTACTCAGAACCCTGGACAGTACAGGGGCCACTGAATAACCATGACACCAAACAGAACACAGCACATGTCCAAGCCAGAAAGGGGCACAAAAGTTGTTAGGAGTCAACTGTGGTACCCTAGGACATTGTTTTGGGGGTCACTGGGCTCAGCTGTTCACATAAACATATCGGAGGAAAGGCTATATGTCTGTTTCCCCCTTAGCTGGACCATAGATGCTGAGGTGAGGGCTACCTGTGCTCCTCTGACATCTTTCTTCGGTGTTGAAACATAGAGATGATGTTGAACAAACCCAGTAATGAGTCTGTCTGTGCACAGCCAGCACACTTGCCCTGCTTCCTCCTTTCAGAAGACACCCTTACCCTTCCTGTGACAGCCTCCCCCTGCCGTGCCCTACTTTGAACAGTTGTTTTGTTTTCGAGTGCCTCCCTAGAATAGGGACCTGGGTTCCAATCCATCATGGGCTACTATCCGTGGACATCTGTAACCACATAGAGCTGAGTGTTTACAGTGACCTGAGTTCCTGAGGGTCCAGTCACCTTGGGTGGGCCAGCCATAGAGGGACAATACCACTTTCCACCTGTCTTTACCTGCTCTTCCTTCCTGTGTCTGTGTGTCTGTCTGTCTGGTGGGGGGGTGGTTGAAGAAGGAGAAGAAAGGGCCCCAGTCTTGCTCCCCAGCTGCTTGAGCATCTGTGCTCTAGGCCTACCTTTCTACCTCTGCCTCTACTTAGTACTTCCTGAAGGGAGTTATCCCTAGTCGCTGTCATCTGCATTACAGTGCGTATACTTCAGCCTGTCTAGCCAGACGGTACCTTCACTTCCCTGCTGTTCTCCACCCAGAGCCCTCTCCCATGTTCTGATCACCGTGGTCTGCCTCTGCATCCATAGCCTTGTTTCCACCTCTTTACACCTATGCCCCCTGTGCAATGGTAGTCTGTTCTAGAGGTCCTGGTGCTGGGGAGAGCAGGGTGCAGGAAAGACGTGCTGCTTGTCAAAATGTCACCTGCCTTTTCCCCACCCAGAGCCACAGTTAGGAGTTTGGGGTACACAGGAGTAAGGTGGCATTAGCACATCACAAACTGGGAAGTGGAACAAATAGTTAACAGTGTGCTTTGGTTGAAGCCTGCTTGCCAAGTCTTCCCATAGCTGGGGAGAGGCTTGACAGCTCACTAAGTTGGCATGGGCTTTACGTAGCTGTATTGAGGCCGTTTATAGTATGCCGATCTGCATGTGTACAGTGTAGCGCAATCTCAGCCGTACTAGTTAACGTGTCTGGGACTTCACTAGCCATCCCATTGTATGAATGTGCATACCCAGAATGCTTAAGGTACAGGACAAGTGCCACTGTCACTCTACTGTGTCCCACAGAGTTCATCCGTCAGCCTTCTACCTGTCTGCCTCTGTGTCTTGGGGTTTTAGGAATAAGATCTCCAGCATGCTAGGCTTTGAGAATAAAATTGGAGAAATCGTGCCTACACGGCCAAGTGGTACCTTCATAAAAGTTAGCTGGGGAGCTTGGCATGTGTTTCTGATGGGGTACCACCAGACTGAGGTATATCCTGAAGGTCCTTTCGTTGTAGGACTTTGCTAAGCTTTCAGAGAGGCAGCCTCTGAGAACTTGCTGGGCCCGCCCAGTCCTGTACTGACTTCTCACCGCAGGCTAGTGGATGTCTGCCTCTGTTGCGCTTCTCCTGTAGCCATAGTATGTCCTGCCTGGTGGCATCTGGGGAGGATGTTGTCTCAGCAGCCGTGGCTGCTCACCTGACCTCTCTCCTATTCACCTTTACTCATTGTGTAGAGGGGTCTGCACAATGAGCTACAGCCTTCAACCTGACTTAGTTTTGCGTCCTGGCACACAGAATCCCTGCATAAACACCCAACACCTAGTACCTGTCTGCAGGCCACATCTCCTTAGCCCCAAGCATCATTTCCTGTGCATCTGAGATGATGCTGGGGTCCCTGCTATGTGGGTAAATGGTGCTGGCCAGCCCTGAGTCACACAGGTTCTTGGTAGAGCACACCTGTCCTGTGGAGTGCGGAGGAGCTTATTCTAGACCCTTGACTGTCCTAACTTCCTTTGTGTCCTCTGCATCGCAGATGATATCCAAACCCAGCGAGCCACCCCGGCAGCCTGAGAGCCACCCTGAGGAGACGGAGGAGGAGCTCCGTGAACACCAGGCCTTGCTCGATGAGCCCTACCTAGATCGGCTCCCTGGGCAGAAGGAGCCCTCCCTAGCTGGTGTGCAGGTCAAGCAGGAACCCATTGAGAGTGAGGAGGAGGAGGTGGAGGCCACTCGAGAGGTGGACCCCAGCCAGCGTCCAGCCACTGAGCAAGAGCTGCTCTTCAGACAGGTGTGGAATGAGGGGAGCAGGCAGCTGACTCAGATTCTCCTTCCATCCTCTGAATCACAGACACTCACTGTTCTGGCCCTGGCCATCTTCCTGCCTTCCCAGGCAGTGGGGTGTGTTTATTGTATACTCTCATGTACATGCCGGTTGGACACCCGCCCTCTGAAGGTATTCATGTACCTTCTTGAACATGGGCACACAGAACACACTCAATGAGAGGCGGTAGGTAGATGGTAATAGAAAAGTAAGCGTTGGTGGGATTCAGCCTAACCACCAAAGTTGGAATGGGGGGTTGAAGTGTTAATCAAAAAGGAGATGGGTATGGTGGTGTATACCTTTAGTCCCAGGACTGGAGAGACAATCAGACAGACTAGCCTGGTCCAGGTCAGCCAGGGCTACGTAGTGAGACCATGTCTCAAAAACAAGAGTCAGGGTCTGCTCAGCCTGAAACTTTGGTGCTGCTGTTGAGAGGGACAGTGAAGTCTAGGGCAAAGTACACAGTATCAGACTGCCAAAGACAGAGGACACTCGGTGAGTGTCTGTTAACTTGCAGTGAAAGATAAACCGGCACTTGTCTAGAAAGACTAGGGACTTTCGGACAGGGCATGTGAAGCCCTGGATTAGAAGCCAGGGAACCCCCAGGGAGGCTGCTTTTGCCTCAGGGGTGACAGGGAAGCCAGGGGATCCAGTACTTGATGCCTGGGTCCTGTTCTAGGGCATATACCCCTATTTGCTGGACTCCAGGATTCTCCCAGCCACACCCTCCTTGGTCCCTTGACACTCTAGATGCTTCTCCATACCATTTGGTAATACCAAAACATCAAGGTTCCTCCAGCAGACACCTGTCAACTTCCATTCTCATATGGTTCCTCGAACAACTAGGAAGCAGCCATAGCATGAGAGTGGCTTAGATTCTCCTAAATACCTACATTGGGATAGGTCGGTAGTCTGTCCCCAGTACCGAACTCTGCTGTCTTCCTCTGTCTCAGGCAAAGGTGGCCTATTTGATTCTGGGAATACTTAGCCACCGCTCTTTAAAGTCTAGTAGAATTAAAAGGGTGATGAATGCCATGGGTCTTACGAGCCAGGCACTCAGGAAAATTAGTGGCCAGGACTGTCTACTGCATCGGGTTGATGAACCCAAAGGAACATGGGGACATATTTTGTCATATCTAGAGTAGACCCTCACAGGAAGCCAACACCTACTTGCCCTCGTTGAAAACCAGTGTTGTGTTTTCACACAGATGTAGGTCAGAGTATTTTAGTAACTGTTTTTGAGACTGGTGTCTTGTAGACACCAGATGATCCAATCATGAGACAGTCCCTGGGAGTCCTTACCCTGTGTACTCTCGAGAACCAGGGAAACTCCTTCAAGGGGACCTTGGACACAGAGTAGTTTGTGGAAGTGCACAGAGGAGGCATCAGCTCAGTAGATCAGCTGCTTAATGGTCTGATGCAAGCTGAGGAGGCTGTGGGCCTACGGCTTCTGCATGGGTGTTTGTGGCCCTCCTACAGGAGGCTCTGAGCCTCCCTACCGTCTGCTGGAGACTAAAATGCCTAGATAAAGTTGCCCTCCTCTGCTCACAGCCCAGGGCTTGGGCCCTGCTTCCCAGGAGTGGGCATTTTCCAAGGCCATAAGATCGGTCTATCAAATAGGACTTGGGGCGAGGTTTGTGACGATGGGAAGGAGTTGGACTTCCTTTTTAACATGCAGCAGTGGTGTGGGATGATATGGTGTCCTTTTTCAGCTTTCTCGGGGCCCTAGAAAGTGGCTTCCTCTATTCACACAAGGAGCAGCCTCTGTGTAGGTCAACCTTGGGAATCTCATCTGCCTCATTCCACCCAGCTGGTTCACTTCCCATTGGACATGTACCTCAGCCAGTCCCCAGAGTCCCCATCAGGGTCCACATCCCTCAGTGTATCAGTGTAGCTAATCACCTGAGTGGTAACCCCATATTTCACAGGTACCCAGTCAGATTCTCCCTCCCCCACAATGTATCTTTGTCAACCCAGTCCTCTCTCCTGGGCACCTAAACCCTTAGTAACATGTCCCTTTATGTCCCTCACAGTTCTGGCTTCCCTATTTTGAGAATGCTAGTGTGGTTGGAGGCCAAGGCAGGAACACATCGGACAGTATAGAGCTGGCCCTTCCGTGTCTGTCTGTACTCTCTTGCTGAGTTTGGCCCACAGATTAATCACTCTTTGAGTACCAGAAGAACCTGTGGAGGAGTGGCAGTGTGTATTCACTGTTCCATTTCACTATGGCTGAAGTGGTTCTCCCAGCCAAGGACCTGACCCCTGTCCATTACCAGCCCCTCCACCACTGCTCACCATCTCTTCGGAGAACTCCACCTGGACCACACCTCCCTGTAGGCCTTTGAGATAGCAAGTCTCCTCCCCTCATCCTTTTAAGCAGAGCCAGTGAGAGTACTTAGTGTCTTCTCCTCTATGATTCCACTCAGATCATGGCCCACAGTAGGAGGCATGATGGTTAGTTGTCCCACAGTGGAGAGGCCTGTCACTGCTTAGGGGTGACTGTGTAAAAACTGACACAGACTGGTGGGAAGCGTTCTGCCACTAATGGCCCTCCCTCTCTCCTGCCCTGCAGCAAGCTCTCCTGCTGGAGCAGCAGAGGATCCACCAGCTAAGGAACTACCAGGCATCTATGGAGGCTGCTGGTATCCCTGTATCATTTGGCAGCCACAGACCTCTGTCCCGGGCACAATCCTCCCCAGCATCTGCCACCTTCCCCATGTCAGTCCAGGAGCCCCCCACCAAACCAAGGTTCACCACAGGTAACTTGTAGCCTCTTACTGATGGCGGGAGCAGGGGTCAGGGGCAATCTGGGGCTGTGCAGAAGCCACTGATGAATCTGGGAAGAACCCAGGTCACGCTGTCCATAGACAAGCAGCCAGCACCATGCCAGGCCTGAGAGCCACACTTGATCTTGACACTACACCATGATGATGTTATTCTGGGGCTGGCCACAAGCTCAGAAGATTGCCTTCTCTTTTCTCTCCCCCTGTGTGCCATCATGGAGCTTCCCAGCTTCCCACTCTTAGCCAGCAGCAATAGCAGCCTTAACCTTCTGCAGGTGTTCCCCTAAACCAAGTCTAGGACAGCAGCATTGTCATGAGTCCCAGTGACCCCTGTACAGTGGTTGTTGGATAGCTCTGCTGGAGCAGGAACTAACTCTGGACCTCTCTCACCTCTGCCATTGCACCTGCCCTGCGGGCTGGAAATGCTGTCTCGGTGGCCCCTTAGCTTGTGCCTAGAAGATCCAGAGGTCTGGAGCAAGTTCAGCAGAAGTATGGACCACAGAAGCATAGAGGCAGGGAAAGAAAACTATCCCCACAAAATGGCCACATCACCTCTTCCAATAGTTCCCTGCAGTGACAAGCAGGGAGGCTAGGATGGTTCTTCATAGTGTTTTGATTTAACATTTCCTAATGAAGAAAATGAATGGCTTTATCCTTCACGGCTCTTATAAAATGTCTTCTTGTGGAAGACTGAAGCTACAGCCAAGTTCTTTTCTGAGAAGGAAACTTCCTGTTTAGGGAGAAGTTTCAGTAGTAATACCTAGAAATTAATATTAGTCCAAAAAAATTAAAACTGTACCTCACAAAACCCACCAAGTTTTCTGTCTATGAGCACTTGACCATTGGTTGAAATTAGTGTGTCCTTAAAGGGCTACAACTCAGATAGGAGAACTGTGTCATACCTTGGTGGCAAGTTGCATGTAAACAGTGCTCTGTGTCCTCTGTGGCTAGTCAGAAGAGACCTTCCTGTCTACCGCTCTGTGAAATCAGTCATGGCTGACGCACTTCTGTGGTCAGCAGCTTCTAAGCTGTATTCATGTACTTGCTCATTTCAGATAGGCGTGTTTGTGCATCTCACACATGAGGTCCGGCTCCTGTTTATTCTTGTGTCCATCTTGAGTGAACACATACATGCCTCCTCCTACCCTGTGTCCACCTCTCTGGAAGTTATCTGTTGGCAAGCCACAAAACTCATGCTGGCCTGGACCATGTGGTAACCTTGTGCAGTGCCTACCCAACAGACCTGCTTAATGCAGAGCCTAGTCAGTGAGCAGGCAGACAAGCCTTGAAGGGCCAACACCTGTCATTCCTAGAATTCAGTGTAGCCCATAGGCAACTCAGATCCCTTGTCACCTTTTAATCCATAACTTGACCTCATGGTGCAGCCACAGTCTTTCTGAGCTGCAGAGTTGGGCAATGCTGGGTCTCTCATTCTGCTTTAATCTGGATCCTATTGTATCAGCTTGGAAAGGGGTAGGGTGAACTTGAACTAAGAACCAACTTTGCTCTGTTCCCTCCTGGAAATTCTGCTAGTCCCAGGGGCCATCTTCTGACATTGATTGGCTGAGCCCTGGGCACTGCTCTGACTTCAGTTCTGCTCCACTGCAGGCCTTGTGTATGACACACTGATGTTGAAGCATCAGTGCACCTGTGGGAACACCAACAGCCACCCAGAGCATGCTGGGAGAATCCAGAGCATCTGGTCCCGCCTGCAGGAGACTGGCCTCCGTGGCAAGTGTGAGGTATGGAGCCTCTCTATGGTGATAGAGGAACGCATGCTGCATTGCTTGCTCATGGACATGGCCTCCGGCCTGCTCTATTCACAGTGTCTGGCAGTCCATTTTCACATTATAGTGATGGAGACAGTTCAGGAAACATTGCCTGTGTTTCTCATCCCCATCCATGCTGTCTATGGGCTACTGAGAAGCCTGTCTTGGCACCTTTTATGTTGTGATAGAATACCTGTACTTTAATAAAGCAAAGAGGTCTGTTTACCACCTCACAGTTTTGGTAGCTGGAGGGTCCAAACCAAGGTACCAGCATCTGTTGAGAATCCCCTGACTAAGCCACAACTTGACAGAGAAGCAGAAAAAATTCTGCTGTGTGAGCTGGCCTTTCTCTGTGATACCCTGTTCATTTGAGAATCATAATAACGTGTAAGGATGAAGTCTCCATTTCCCAGTCACCTTCTGCCAGACCCACCCCTTGCAGGGCCAGTAGTACCATGGTGGGCGTGTAGCTTCCTTCCATGAGCCTTTGGGGGTTTCCCATGGCAGAGTCCAAACTGCTTCCCTAAGACTCTGTGTCTTCTACAGAAGCTGCCCCACTGTGCTGTGCTCCTCAAACCCACAGTATCAGGCTGTCCTTCCATGGCTGTCCCTACCCTCTTCCTAGTTACTTCCCAGCATGCTCCTGTGGCTGAACAGTGTGCGCATCCCTACTTATGCTGTAGAAGGATCCAAGACCCAGAGGGAAGACAGCCTACATGTCCTGTTAGCATCATGAAGACTGTTCGTCAGATGTAACATCAGAAAGCTTCTCTGAGGATGTGTGGAGAGCTTTGGGCCTTTCTCCCTCAGATGTTAGGTTCCATGAGGCAGTGGCAGGCATGGAAAGTGCCTTTTCCCTCCACCCCCTGGCCTGGTTAGCTTTACCTGTGGTTTCTTTATGCCAGGCCCTCTGCCCAGGGGCTGTGTGGAGAAGCTCTAGTAGGGTTGTCTATCTGGCTACAGGTCCTCAGTGTCCCCAGCTTCCATGCTTGCTCTCATGAGGCCTGGCCTACCTGCCAGTGGGGCCCAGTGTTTATCCCACATTTGGCCACAGCAGAGCTGGTCACATATATTAGGACCCTGGCCAAAGTCATGTTGAGCCTCTCATGGTTCACACATGACCTAGCAGGTGTGCAGTTCCAGGTCCTGTGTACTCAAAAGTCCTATGCTGAGGAAGGAGGATGAGTTTGTGTAGGGCAGGCACAGGGACCAGGGCTCTATTCTTGGGAGCTGGTAGTCTCAAGTGGGTCTTCTTTTCCCCATCTGTTCAGCAGGCCTGACATCACCCACAGAATTGCCTCAGTACCTGCCAGGGGAGTCGGCTCTGGCCTCTCTTCAGCCTGGAAATCCCCTCTCTGTTTTGCCCTCAAGTTGTCCTGCACATCAGCATAGGATAGAACACAGGGGTCTCAAAGGCACTAGCAAGTGACTCATGGAGCAGCTGCCATTTGTTTCCTCTCTGTGGGCCCACCTGCCCTCCCTTACACACTGGAGTATTCAGAGTCTAGGTCATCCCAAGGTTCACATGGCCCCAATGTCCCTTACCACTCAAATTGTACCTCACTTTTGGGGATGTCCCAATATCAGGCCCACACCTGCTCCTGGTGGCCCTCTGGGTGGGAGGAAAACAGGGAAGGGTGAGGTGAGACCCCAGGCACCTGCCTTGGGAATCTTATCCAGAATGCTATGCCACTGGGGGGCAGCATTGGTCTGTGTACACAAGCCCTAAGAAAACTCTTTCCTCTCTTGTTCCAAGTGGTCTTCCATCCTGCCCATCCAGGTGCTGCCCTGAGGCATTCTGCAGTTGCCAGCATTCACTAATGTCTTGTCCCATCCCAGGCAGGGACTGTGAGGCAGATTCTCGGCCAAGAAAGCAAGTAGACTCAGGCAGGGATGAGAGTAGAAATATCTGAGAAAGCAGGACAGCCCGCCACCTCACCTCACCTTCCATTGTGCCTTTGTGAAGGTGTAAGAGACATTTGCCACATCTGGGCCAGTGGCAGAGGAAGATGAGGACTGGCAGAGTGTTATTAGGTAGCAGGCTATGAGGTCAGAGCAGAGTTGGCAGGAGCCTCGGGAGAGGTTGACTAGGACAAGATGGGGTGTAGAACCATTGACAATAGTAAAAACACTGACCAGCTTCCTAGGTCTAAGTACCCTAATCCAAACATAGGAAGGGAAGCTCATCACGGCAGTTCCTGGCTCTCAAGTAGGCGATGCTATGATGTTCCAAAGGCTCCCAACTACTGACATTGCAACTGGAGCCTGGGTAGGCAACTGTACCTCACTCTGGGTAGGCACATACTAGAGGGTCCTGTGGGTTGTCTCACCCACGTTGGCTCTGACCTAGAGAAGTCATCTTTGTAGGCCCAAGCCTCTCCACCAGCCTGCAGAACCAGGGCCACACCATGTTGGTTTAACTTCTTCACCACTTAGGTCAGCGCCTGCTGGACCAGACAAATGGTCAGGAACGGGAGAACAGATCCTGTCAACAGTTTCTTGAGTGAGGAGGACTTTACTTTGCCTGACCCCCAAGGAGCCCTTTCCCTATAAAATATTTGTCTGTTTCATAACCTGCTGTCCAGCTAGTTAAGTGGTTACCTCAGCTGAAGAGCTGGCACTCATCTGCTAGTTTCTAGAGCTCTGAAAGTAGCTCAAGAGTTGATTTGAGGAACTTACCAACTGCAAAGGAGCACAGGACTTGTAGCCACCTCCTAATGCAAGCACAGACTCGGCTGTTTCAGCCATGCTCAAGGGAGGGACACAGAGAGCTGGTCTTAAGAGAACACTAGAAGCAGTGGCTTGAGTCCCCTTGAGAATGAGCTTAGGCAGCTTGCCCCACCTCTGGCACTTCCTGCTATTTTAAGCCCAGACCATACTTTCAGAAAGTAATAATTCATTGGAAATCATTTGTGTGACAGTGAAGGGTAACATGTTGAAAACTAGAATTATCTTTTTAAATGTTTTTCAAAGCTAAGATTCAAATGCAAGCAACCTAAAAATTTTGTTGTTGTTTTTGTTTTTTGTATTTTGTTTTTGTTTTTTGAGACAGGCTTTCTCTGTGTAGCTTTGGAGCCTATCCTGGCACTCACTCTGTAGACCAGGCTGGCCTTGAGCTCACAGAGATCTGCCTGCCTCTGCCTCTCTACCTCTCTGCCTCTCTGCCTCTCAGCCTGGCCTTGAGCTCACAGAGATCTGCCTGCCTCTGCCTCTCTACCTCTCTACCTCTCTGCCTCTCAGCCTCTCTGCCTCTCTCTGCCTCTCTCTGTCTGTCTCTCTCTCTGCCTCTCTCTGCCTCTCTCTGTCTCTCTCTGTCTCTCTCTCTGCCTCTCTCTGCCTCTCTCTGTCTCTCTCTGTCTCTCTCTCTCTGCCTCTCTGCCTCTCTCTGCCTCTCTGCCTCTCAGCCTCTCAGCCTCTCTGCCTCTCTCTGCCTCTCTCTGTCTCTCTCTGTCTCTCTCTCTGCCTCTCTCTGCCTCTCTCTCTCTCAGCCTCTCTGCCTCTCTCTGTCTCTCTCTCTCTCTCTGCCTCTCTCTGCCTCTCTCTCTCTCTCTCTCTCTCTCTGTCTCTCTCTCTCTCTCTCTCTCTCTCCCTCTCTCTCTCTCTCTCTCTCTCTCTGTCTCTCTCTCTCTCTCTCTCTCTCTCCCTCTCTCTCTCTCTCTCTCTCTCTCTGTCTCTCTCTCTCTCTCTCTCTCTCTCCCTCTCTCTCCCTCTCTCCGCCTCTCTCCGCCTCTCTCCGCCCCTCTCCGCCTCTCCGCCTCTGCCTCTGCCTCCCGAGTGCTGGGATTAAAGGTGTGCACCACCAATGACCGGCCCTAAAAATATTGTTACGCATTGTGTTATGTACTGTTTTGTCTCTACCTTTCAATAATCTAGTAATCATATACCCATCCTCATAATGGAACTGCACTCCCTCTGGAACACTGGCCTTGCTGAACTAGAGATTGAGCTAACACAAATGTTCTTACCTTGTGACCCCACAGTGCATCCGTGGACGGAAGGCCACATTGGAAGAGCTGCAGACAGTGCACTCGGAGGCCCACACACTCCTCTATGGCACAAACCCTCTCAACAGACAGAAACTGGACAGTAAGAAACTTCTAGGTACTCGAGACCTTCCTTACATCCCTACCGGGTTTGATCTGCTGCAAGTGAAGTTTCCACCCCTTGATCCCTGCAGCTGGGGCCATTATGTGGCTTGCCAAGACAGGAAGATTGGCTCCCGCTAAGGCCATGGGAACAGAGAAGCCTGGCACTCCAGCCAATTCTGGAAGCTGCTCAGGACTGTTTGACACCAGATGCACCCAGCACTTGCCCTGTTTGCAGTTCCTTTCTAAGATTTCTGTGGGGAAGGCTGATAAGAGGCATGGAGAGTCCTAGGCTTGGCCACACTGAGGCCACTGATTGCAGACTAGGAAGCTGTGTGTTGGCCCTATCAGTCAGCCTCACTATGGGCATGTTCTAGCTAGCAGAGACCTATTCTGCCTCATCACTGGGGTCTTTGTCCAATAAAAGTAGGATTTGACAAACTAGGGCTCTATGTAATCCCTTAGTATATTCTACATCACCTTCACCCTCAGTCAGAAGACAGGGAACTCCCCTGCAGGAGCTTGACCAGTCCAGAGGACACTGAGAGCTCCCAGCAAATAGTGCTCTCAAAACTGATGCTGGACTCAGGTTTACAAAGCCACTGCCCCTCCTAGGCTGCCAGTGTGGGCTCCACACCAGGTCAGGAGCAGACAGGACAGTGCTTGCCAGGCAGCTGGAGACCAATGCTGTACTTGGTGCCCTTGAAGAGGGAAGAACTGTGGACAAAGGTAGCAGTGAAGGAGGAAGTGTAGGGTGTTGGAGAATGTGAAAGTCCAAAGCAAGATCAGCAAAGGAGAAAGTCCCCAGGCTGAAAGACAAGCTGAGGCAGTCTTCCCAGAATGGGACAAAAGGCCAGCTGCAAGGAGAGGACCAGGTCTGTTGTGACACCTGGTCCTAGCAGTAGTGCCAAGCAGGAGGGGAAGGAGGGGATAGGTTTTGTGCTAGAACTGCAAGGTACTTCTTGCCGGATTACAAGGATCTCAGGAGTAACTGAGATGAAGAGCGAGCAAGAGGACTAGGTGACATGTTTCAAGGCTCCAGAGAGCTAGGGTGTGCTCTGCTTCCCTCCTGTCACTGTCACCTAACCAGGCCACCAGGCAAGCGGGAGGAACAGAAGCATTTGCAGCCTATGAGTTTCATTCTTTGGCATTGTTTCTCAGCCCCTGGGGGTTGTAATATACACCCCTCCTTCCCAGCCTTTTTCAAAGACCCAGACTTTCCCCACCTACCCTATCCCCATTCCTTGTGTGTTCATCATCTCTGGAAAGGATAGCCACCATTTAAGACACTGGTTTGACATAGTACTTCCTGTACAGCTCCCCTACGAGGCCAGCTCTTACCCCCTGAAGATCTCCCTCTGCTACAAGAACTTTGTGTGTGCAAAGTTGAGAGCACTTTTACTTGCTTCCCACCTGTCACTGGGGGAAAGATGCATTAATGCTCCTGTCCTGCCTCCCATATTTGCATATGCAAATAAGGACCAAGCCATGAACCTAGGCTGCAGGTGCTTAGCTATTTGAGGCAGAAGGGCAGGAGTGGTAAGAAGCTGGCCTAGGTAGGACCTCAGGGCTCTAGCCTTCAATAAACAGCAGGAAGTGGAGGCCACATCAGCACTGTCTCCTCGGTATGAATTTGAGGACTGGTAATGGCAAGGAACATGCAAGTATGACCTTGTTCCTACATTGCCTATAGTGGCTCATTGCCCCGAGATGCCAGCCAGGAAAAGGCTGATTTACTCGGATCCATAGTTGGAACTCAAGACAGACATGTAGACACAGCGAACCTCCCCTAACTCCCAGATCTGCCAACACTCAATGGAAGAGGTTCTGTGCTTTAGTAGGAACACTCTCAGGTATAAACAAGCTTCCCTGTCCACAGGATCTCTAGGCAGCGTGATGTCTGGATTGTGCAGAACTATGCCAACTCTTGAGAGGCCCACCCCCACCTCCTGTGGCCTAATCATGAAAGCCTGCTCCTCTCAGGCTCTGGCAGAGCCAGTTTCCTTGCACTTGTTGCCTGGTGGTGGAGCCTTGCAGTGGAGCCAGTGGGATTCTGAGGACCATCTTACCCTGAGTTCACAGCACACTAAGGGCTGGGCACCCCCAGAGCCAAGCTCCCCTGATCTTCTGACCCCCATCTTCTCCCCATAGGCTCACTGACCTCCGTGTTTGTCAGGCTTCCTTGTGGTGGTGTTGGGGTAAGTATTTCTTTAATGTGTAAATAATGTCCTGTTTGTTCTCAGAGCCCCAGTGGTCACAGAAATCATTGCCTTGCTCTCTCGAGTGGGTAATGGCTGCCAGGTGTTTTCCATAAACAGTACTATGGGCCAGGCGGGGCCATGTGGGGCTTCAAAGGAACTGAGAGCCGGGAGCATTTTTTTTTTCTTCCACCAAACTCAGGCACCTTTCTTTGGTAAAGGTTGTCTGACAGTGCATCTGGAGCCCTGCTAGTCCACAGCTCTTGTGCAGCCTTATGTAGACTGCATCTGAGCCTACATCCCCAGTAGCTCTGTGCTCATGTCCACACAGGCCACAAAGGCTTCTTGGGGCAGAGTGGGTTTGTTCTGTCCACTCACTAACTTGTACTCCTGACAAAGTTCTCTGTAGGACACCTGTGAGTCAGGTGACATTTGTAAGACAGTCTCTGGTTTGTGGTGATAGCCATTTCTATAGCCAGGTGACAGGAGCAACTAGTCACTTGGGAAACACTGAGACACACAAGTGGCAAAGGATGCCATCAAGGTGTCTACTGCATCTGCACAGATAGCCTTAGTTAGCCTCACTGCTAACCCAGCCTCAGGAGGCAAGGGTTCTGCTGTACCCCGTCCTCTGGGATGGAAGAGTGGGACCAAGCCTCCTGTTTGATCTTCTGACCCTTAGAGTCCCACTGCATCACTGTGTGTTGGGCCAGCACATGGCCAAAGTTGTCCTGGACAAACCTGTACCATGTTTGATCACAGATCCTGGGGTGAAGCCGAGGTCTGGATTCTGTTATGGAAATGAAACAAAATTGTTTTCTTCCTGAGTCTTTACAGAAATCGCTGCTTTGAAAATTGCCCCGTCAGAAAGAGAATCGATGGCATCTATTCATACCACCACCAAGCCCTCCTGCAGTTACTTTGTTTTGTATTGTAAATAGGCTACAATCTCTTAATTCGGGGCAAATTTTTGGCCAGACTTGAAACGATTTAGATTTGCACTGCCCTGCAGCCAGAGAGCCCTGTGCAAGGCAGCATTTATAATTTGCAAATGAAAACTAAATGCAAGCTTAGATCTCGGGGTCGAACCTGGGCAGTCTCCTGCACCAGTAATCCAGATCTGAGGTACAGCAGGCATGCCAGATGAGCACAGACACACGGCACAGATGTGAGTGGAGCCCATGGGACCCCGCCTAGAGAAGGGAGTCAAGATCTTCAGGTCTTGCACATGAGCTCTGAGGCAGGAAGATGGCCTAGAGGCTCTGCCCTGAGTGGACTCAGTATTCCTTCCAGGGCCTACCCACCTGCATGTCAGAAAGGGCAATGCAGACGCCATGGGGGATTGAGGCCTGTGTAGGATAAGGAACAGACACTCAAAGGCAGGCTCTCTGTCCCTGGAAGTAGCTTTCTGTTACCATGTCCTTCATGTAATAGTTCTTTGAGAGTTTAAAACTCATCCTTTCTTAGTTCTGTTAAGTAAAGGTTTGAAATAGTTTTAACCTTTTTTTTCCAAACCAAATGAAACTCCTGTTTTGTTCACCTCATTATTGTGAATTTCAAACTAGGAAGGGCCTGAGTTCTCGACTTTCTGTGCTGCCTGGGGTGTCTTGTTACCTCCTCCCATCTGCAGCTTGAGCTTCCTGATTCCCAGGCACACCCCAAATGTGCCACATGCTCCATTGTCATCATTGAGTTTTCCTTTCCCGGCTGCTCTGTGTCTCCCTTCCACCTGCCTCCATTCCTCATTAGCGTCACCACCGTGACTAAACAGGACTGCTCCTCCGTGCCACTTCAAGGGAAGCAGCTGAACAGAAATGGGAACAAAGCAGCAGGGAAATATTGTCATGTCTTTGCAGCCTGGGCTGCTGCAGTGGGGATTGTCCCTTACCCCTTGCTCTGTACAGAAGGAGGCTTGGCCAGGCTACAGACACTTACTCTGATGCCCAGAAGAGTACAGTCTACAGAAAGTCCTGGGAGAGCAGGCAAATGGCATGTGTAGTCCCTCTTCACATTGAGCTCATACATAGCCTTTGGCCTGGCCTGGCCTGGCCTGGCCTGGCCTGCCCAGGACACTGCTGCCCCCTGGAGATCCTGAGGCAGCTGGCGGAGTATCTCCTGCACTGTGGTCACCTTTGATATTATAATGAGCTAATAATAATGATTTGATTCTCCAGCCAAAGCTGGTCTTCATAGGACCACAAGCCAGTGTCCCAGCTTTGAATAGTGATGCCTCCCAGTGGGCATTCCTTTGGCATTTGGGAGCTATTTAAAGAACATAGCCCAGGCTAAGTACCCCTTTCAGCAAAGTCTAAACTCATACAAAAGGAATTGTACATCATCTGTCTCTGAGAGTGAAATTTGTGGAAAAGCTGGAAAAAGTTGCTTCTCCCACTGATGATCAGTGTCTGTCAGCTAGCAGGATGGTGTGGAAGGCCCAGGCTGGAGGTGAAAAGAGGTGCTTGTGGGTCTTCGAGTGCTCAGAGGTGGTATATGTGAGGGTCTGTCAAACCTTGAACTTCAGAAATTAAACTGCTGCAACCAGGCAACCCTGACTCTACTCCCCCAGGCCAGAACTCCCTGACCAGGGCCTAAATCTCAGTGTGTCTGCTCCAGGTCCCATGTAGCCTCACAGAGCACACTTGTAGACAGTTGTTCCTGTGTCCTGACATTGCAGCCTTGCTTGGGCTTCCCTGTAGACCCAATAGTGGAGTGTCTTGTTTTGTTCTCTGAAACTGGAAAATGGCTCTGCAGGTAAGGGTACTAGCTGCCAGGTGTGACACCCCAGGTTCAATCACTGACATTCGTGTAGTGAAAGAAGAGAACTGACTCCTACAAGTTGTCCTCTGGCCTCCACAAGAATTCATGTTCATGTGTGCATTCCCATGTTCACACACACACACACACACACACACACACACACTTGTCATTTTTAAAAATTGTAATGCATCGTCCTTTGCCCAAGCCAGCAGACAGCTCGTCGGCCTTGCTTGCTGTTTGAAGTGGAAGCTAACAAGCTACCTGTCTGCCACCTGGGCTGACAGAGCTGGTGGTTTCTGTCACGCCTCACGCCCTGGCCCCTTTTATTACTCTCAGGCCATCGTAAGCGCATGCAGTTAAAGTCAATACACAGCAGAGCCACTTACTGTAGCTTCTGTTCTGTTTCATTTTCGGCTTATTAACACAACTCTGAGCTACTGTTCCAGTTTAAAAAGTAAGGAAGTCAGCAGCCTAGGATTCTTACTGTCAGTTCCAGGTTTGTTGGAACAAGTGAAAGGAGAAGGGCATCCCAGAGGAGATGGAACGCGGTATTTCTGGTTACTTGTTTTTAATCCTGTGCTTAATGTTTTCACACACCTCAAAAAGAAATGTACCTGATGTGCGTTGCTGTGTATGCTCTGGCCATTCTATAACACAGGGACAGAGGTTTAGGGGATCCAGGCTACATAACCCATGTGATGGCAGTGACAGTGACCCAGGATTTGGCTCACTGAGGAACGTTGTTTTCACAGGTGGATAGTGACACCATATGGAATGAAGTACACTCGTCAGGGGCAGCCCGCCTGGCTGTGGGCTGCGTAGTGGAGCTGGTCTTCAAGGTGGCCACAGGAGAGCTAAAGGTCAGTCAGCATGATAGAGCTAGCTGGGCAACACAAGGAGGGAGGGTCAGCCCTTTCTGGAAAGAATTGGTGCAAGGCAGCTGCTGTCCAGGAAAATACGGATGCTCCATGCTGGGGAAAATGGATGGATGGATCCGAGATGGATCGCTGGAGCCCTTTACCCCTCCCAGTCACTGAAGAGCCCAAAAAGCTTTTGTTTGTGTGGCCCACATCCTCAGTGCCAGCTACACTGAGATTAAAATGAGACATTTTCAGAGTGTTCATTGTAAAATAACAACAGCATCTGTCATAGTGCATGACATCTGGATACACACCTGTCTCACAACGGGAAACTGGTGGAGAGACACTGACCTTGTGTAAGTGAGGATTGAAAAGGGAGTGTCTTGTGGTCTTTGTGAAAACTGGAAACAAGATAACTTCCCTGACCTGTGCCAGCGTTGGCACATGGCCCGTGTTGAAGGACCCCACAGCCTGCTGTCAGTTGTGTAGTTGTCTCACACTACTGTTGTAGTGTTGTTTACTGAGCCAGACAGCAGTTGGAATGTTAAGGCCCCAGATTTCAGCATACCGAACCCTAGCAGAAATCATGTTTGTTTGTTTTTAAGATTTATTATTATGTATACAGTGTTCTGCCTGCATTATGCCTGCAGGCCATAAGAGGGCACCAGATCGCATTATAGATAGTTGCTAGAAATTGAACTCATGACCTCTGGAAGAACAGCTAATGCTCTTAACCTCTGAGCCATCTCTCTAGCCCCTTGTTTGTTTTTTAAACCTTTAATGCTACCACTCATCTCATGAGAAACATGCTAAGGTTCCTGTCATATGCGGGGATGGGCACCTGTGAAGTCCAAACCCCATCACTGGCAAGAAACATGCTAAGGTTCCTGTCATATGCGGGGATGGGCACCTGTGAAGTGGTGCTCCTGCCTGTCCTGTTCCTGGAAGTGGGAAGCTTTGTTTTACTTGAGAAGTGTCTTAGGTCTCCCCAAATTGGAAGGCCCATAATTTCTCTCATCATTACAAGGAAAACGGGTATCTCTGAGAAAAGAGGATCTGGCTCAGCACACAGGGATAGGTGTGGAGAGGCTTCCTGGAGCTAGCCTACACATGGCCTTCCTCAGAACCTCCACACTGTCTTCTTCCCTTTTCAACATGGTATGCTAACAGATGTGGGCCTGAAGGTAGAAGGTTGTACACTTTGTGGAAGCTTATCCCGAGGATGTTCATGGGGAAATGTCCCCTGGTGCTCATTGTGGGGCCTGGTGTGTCTTCACACCAGCTCGCCTGCTGCCCAGGTAGGTGGAATCTGAGGCTTGTTAGACCCCTGAAGCCGGTGCCCAGGACTCAGCAGCTTGCAGCCACAAGAATGAGGAAGGAAGTTTGCAGTGCTGAGTGTCAGAGGGTAGCCTCCATCTTGTGGATCTGCCTCTCAGCCTTAGCACTGTCCTTGTCCTGTCAACCAAGCCCCCTTGGCTGACCTTTGTGTGCTGGTGCTGGAGAGAGTTAGAGGCTTGGTTGGGTGTTTTACAGCTGCAGCCCCAGGGGTGTGCAGGTGTTCTGTAAGGTGCAAGTGATGGCGTAGGCTGTGCAGTCACACCATCCAGTACCAGCTCTGTAGCGATTCTTCTGGGTGGGAGTAGAGTTGGGTGCTGTGTGTGCCGTCTGTTCCCCAACAGCTAAGATCCAGTCAGGATAGAGATGGGCCCAAGACCTGCTTGAGGCATTACATGGACCCAGCAGCAACCTATATGAGCACTCTTTGTTTTTTTAGGGGAGGAGGGGAAAACAAGTTCTCATTTAGCCAAGCTAACCTCCAGCTCACAGTGTAATAGGCTGGCCTCAAGCTCCTGATCTTCCTGCTAGGGTTATAATGCCCAGTTTTCTTTTATCTGTATCCATTTCTGCTACCCAGGCCTCTGGTAAGCAACACTCGCCACGACCACCCGGGCCCTTGGCCCACACCACCTCCAGTGGCTGCAGCCCTGACCCTTGGCAGTAGGAAACAGCTGTTAGGTCCACTGCCTCAGGTCAGGCTCTCTGAACAGACTCCTTAAAGAAAAAGCCACACTTGCCATCCCTGTCATGGAACCAGTAGTAATGGAAACCACATCCTCCTATAGATTCTGAATGTGGTAACTGGTGTTTGTAGTGACTTTGGGGTTAAGAACTGTCTTTATTCACTCTTTCCCACTATCTGCTACCATTTGCAGAATGGCTTTGCTGTGGTTCGTCCCCCAGGACATCATGCCGAGGAGAGCACACCCATGTAAGTGGACACAGCAGGCTGATAAAAAGCATAGGTAACAGGGCTGGCGGAGCATCTGAGGGCCTGGGGAGGAGCTGAGTGGCCTTGTGCACATCACCCAGGTGTGTTACTTTGTCTCCCTTGCCCACAGCCAAGGTAGATATATGATTTGAGAGTCATGCAGTTGGATGAGGAATATAGGCTGGGTTTAACAAAGAGAAGGTTCAAGTTGTCGAAAAGTATGACACCAGCGAGGCTGGGCCAGAGACGTGTGTGATAATGTTTTAGGTCACTAGCCCACAGGAATAGTACCATTCACATTTTTGATGGTTTTTACCACCTTCTTTAAGCAAAGTAATTCCTCAGGGCCTTGCCCAGAGACTGACCTGAATAGATAATTCCAAATAGGTATCTCCAAATGATTCTAGATCCTGTCAAGTTGACAACAGATATTAACCATTAACAGTGTCTGTGTATATCTTCAATATGTGTGCATGTGTATATCTATCTGATATTTGTATATATGTCTGTGTATATTTGTGGTGTGTGCATGTGTGTTTGTGCATACCTGTATGTTATGTGTGTCTGTAGGTGGGTTTCTTAGGATGTGTACACTTACATGTGCCTGTGTGTATATCTGGGGTGTGGAGAGATGGTCTATGGTGGGAAGATGTCTTTTATAGTATCTGTACTCATACTTCGTTGTGTATTTGTGGAGAGTGATATGCGTGTCTGATGGGTAGGTCTTATGTGGCACGTGCTTAAGTGCCTGTGGATCAGTGGTGTATGTGTATTTAGCATGGCTTGTGTCGCTCTCTATATGTCTGTCTTTGTGTCTGTTGGTTAATCACCAGAGTCAGTTAAGGTCCCCAGTTAGGAACCAGCTGGTCTTCACATAAGCCCTCTAGAAACTCACAGGACTCTAGATGTTCTGCTATGAGTTGTTTAAAAACAATAACTAGATGTCTCCTCTGCAGGGGATTCTGCTACTTTAACTCTGTGGCAGTTGCAGCCAAACTTCTCCAGCAGAGACTGAATGTGAGCAAGATCCTCATTGTGGACTGGGTGAGTGCTGCCTGCCCAGGCATGACTTGGAAAAGCATGCATTTCCCCAGTGGATGATGGCCTTACTGAGCTCACTTCACTTCTACTGAAACTTGGAATCAGGGAACTGAACTTTCTGGAAACGTCCCAGAGATCAGAGAAATAAAGCCTGTACCCATTAGAAGTCGGCTTTAAGACTGAGGCCAGCTGATCCTGCTAGTCATGGTTTCTAACCTGCCAGAATAGTACACACAATTGAGTGAGGCCACCATCACTGGTCCTCAGTACTGACTGTCGGGAAGCTGGAGTATTAAAGGTCACATTTAGGCTTGACTCTATGCTATGACCTGGGGACATGGACCTAGCTGCCCACCCTATACTAGCTGACTCACTTCACACAAATGACTGGGCCTCCATCCTCTTAAATAAGTGTAGCTTCTTACAACCCCACTGTCTGGAATGGCTGCTGCTTCTCAGAGAGCTAAGCCAAACATCAGAAGCAGCACACTGTTCTATGAGTAGACAGGTATTGGGGTGTGCATATCAGCACCTCTTCTTAGTTATGGTGCCTAAGCTTAGTCATGGTGTCACGAGCTCCGAGCAGCAGGGAAAGAGGCAGCCTGGGATTCTGCCAGACCAAGGATCACCTTGGTGTCCTGGCTGTGTGAAGTGGTTCCCAGGACAAGTGTGCTGGGTGACCCTGTTCTTAGAACTGCATGTTATGTGAACAGCCATAAGAAGCCAGTTCTGAGACACCTGCACACAGAGATGCCCCTTGATACTGATGTCTCAGGCCATACCTTACTAAGCCCACGTCAGGTGGAGATGTCATTTGGATTTCATACCCTTCTCAGTTTCAGAAAGAAGCAACAAAACATAAACCAGGAGACAAGTCAACTCTTGGATCCAGAATGGGGCCTAGGCAAGGAGGGAAAGGCAGTGCAATTTTACACATACCAGTGCACCTGTCTCTCCTGAGGAAGGGAACAAGCAGAGATGTATCCAGAATGGGGCCTAGGCAAGGAGGGAAAGGCAGTGCAATTTTACACACACCAGTGCACCTGTCTCTCCTGAGGAAGGGAACAAGCAGAGATGTGAGCAGAGACGTGCCATGCAGTTGGTAGCAGCGTTGGCAAGACAGTTACGCTCTGGAACAATTGAGTCGGTGGATGACCCACATAGACACTGTCTTCTCATCTTTCCAAGACCAGGACACACTCCCCAGGACCACACTGTGTATTAAACTGAATGATGGTGATACACATAGACACTACTATGACTTCCTGTACACAGTGTTGCCCATGCACTTACTGTACACAGTGCTATCCATGGCTCCTCCTCTCAGCAGGGACCTGGTGAATGAGATGGGGGCACTTGTCTTCTTGAGTGGCAGGACATCCACATCCTACATTGAGCGCAGATTACCCTAGAGAGAAAGCTTTTGACGCGCACCACTAAGCACTACAGGGCTATCCATCCTTCCTGGCCTGGTAAACAATTCTCATGGCCCACAGTAGTGGCCACAGTAATTGGCAGAAACCAAAACTGCCTGTTTTTCTTACTTTCTGGTTCTCATGGTTACATGGGTATCATGTCTTAAGAAAACAGCTTGTGGGGGCCTGGGCACCTGTCACCTAAGTTCATCTGCCATATACTGTATGCGATGAGAAACACCTCACATGCGCCAATAAGTTAGCCAGCCCCCAAAACAGTGGTTTCCCTGATGTAAGGAAGTAATGAAATGGCATACTGCAAATTAGGCAGGCACATAAGATGAGTCAGATGGCTTTGTTTGAAATCACAGCCTCAACTCAGCTAGGAGATAGCTCATCCTCTTCACTGAAGCCAGGAATATGCTCTGGTGCTCAGGGTTACAGAGACACCACTAACTCAGACTAGCTTCAGCAAATCTGTGACGCTGCTGGCATCCCCTACCACCTTAGGTGAGGTGCAAGCCAGACTGAAGATTGTAGAGCGTTCGTCAAGTAGGAACTGTTACTCCAGGGCACAGGGGAACAGCTGGATTGTGAGGGCTATCCTTGAGGCCTGGTCCTCCCTGAACCAGTTCTCTTGGTCTCACAGGATGTACACCATGGGAATGGGACCCAGCAGGCCTTCTACAATGACCCCAATGTTCTCTACATGTCCCTGCACCGCTATGATGACGGCAACTTCTTCCCAGGAAGTGGAGCACCAGATGAGGTATTTGGAGTGAAGTTTTGGGAGTAACTAGGGGGATAAGCCAGCTTGGAGCCAGGAGCTGCAGCTATCTGGAGAGCAAGGCAGATACAGGCCACACCTGACTGCTACACACAGAAGCACCACTTCCCAACTCAGACTGCCCTTCCAAAAAATGCTAGCCTAGATTACACTGTGTATAACTTGAGCCAGAATTTTGTATAATGTTCAGTGAAACTCTACACATCATTTCTGTTTCTACTCAGGGTCAGGAAACATGCCCAAGAGAGGTTGCTGTTGCTCTTCAGCACACCTGCTTTTCTGTACCGAGATGGCTCTCCCAGTCACTGTCTTTAGGGGCACCCTTAGGCAGCACACCCATGTCCCTCTCTGTCCATTTGGCATCTGGTACTACCTGGTGGTCCAGAGCCTGCCTTCTGAAGACAGTCCCACAGTCCAGAGGCACTTCTGTGTAAACATGATGCACAGATCCTCAGGAGTGTCTCTCAGTTGTTCCTCCGAGTTCAGGGCCTGTGAGCAGCCACAGCCCTGTAAAGACTGCTCTACTGATATCAGTGCCAGGTACTGGAGTGGCCAGCTTCAGTGGTGAGCACACTCATGAATCTACAAGACCTGTGAATATCCCTTTGGGCCTGCCAGCCCAGCACACCCTAGTTCAAGTGTCAGCTGTGTCAGGTATTCATTTCAGAGTATCAGTGACAGCAGTTTCTCTCCTTGTGGCCACAGGTGGGCACAGGGCCAGGCGTGGGTTTCAATGTCAACATGGCTTTCACGGGTGGACTTGAACCCCCCATGGGAGATGCAGAGTACCTGGCAGCCTTCAGGTGAGTACCCATCTGTCCAACCACAGAGATTAGTCCTTCTGAGTCCAATAAGATAGCCAAGCAGGCCGGGAACTCTGGAATTGATCTTTGAACTGCCTCCTTTCTGTTACCAGATCCCTTCTTGGGTAAGCCTGCCTGTTTGGGTCCCAGTAGTAAGATGGGGAGATGGTAGGAGGATGGGGAAAGGCTTCTGCTACACTGGGAAGTTCCATTAATCAGTGGAAACTGAAGGGGTAAATCTCAGAGCTCTCATTTCCTCTTCATTCTTCCACAAATTGTAAAGTGATAGAAAGTGGAAATGAATAAAGGAGAAATACCATCCCCTTTATTTGTATGCGTGTCAGGCAAGAGTCGCCTTGTTATACCACATCCCTTGTGCTGCTGTGGCCACTTAGATTGGCTGCAAGGTGGTTGCTTTTTAAAAGGCATTCACTTTTGTTGTTCACAGCTCTTTTTATTTCTAGGCTGGGCCTGCCACTTTCCTCTTGTTTTACCATGGCCGCTTTCCCCTGCTGCTGTACAGTGGAGGAGGCTCCACTCGAGTAGGTCATAGCCCAAGAGCAGTTCCAGGGTCTGGATGGACCAAGGGACCTTCAGTCACATAGGATTCCTTTTTGTACTGTGGATGAGAGCATCATCAGACCTCCAGGGGTCTTCTCTGCCTCTTTGTGTAATTCTGGGGTCATGCCTTGACCTCTGTACGTAAAGTGCATGTGTACAGGCATAAGCTTTATGTGCATATAGACACGTATGTATGCAGACGTATACATACGTCTGTATGTCCCTGAGGGACACTGTCTGTGTAGGTGTGTGTGGTTGGGTGTGTGCTGCATGCATATATGCCTATAGGGCATAGATTTCTGAAAGTGTGAGCACATCTGTATACATGTATGTAAGAACATATGTCCCTCGTTGGTGAGACATGTCTGTAAAGTTTATATAGACTCGCCATGTGCTCTGTAGCTATGGTATCAAAGACTCCCAACACTTCTTAGCATCTGCCTGCTCATTTTGAAGCAGGTTCCCAGTCCCAGTTGCCATTGAAAAGGTGGTTAGGGTCCAGTATAGTAAAGACCTGGCCCAGTGTGAGTCAACCACGTGCACTCGGAGTCAGTAGTTCCTAGAAATGACCAATTTCATTTGATGAAGTTACAGAGGTCTACCATTCAGCTGTTGGCCGGTTATAGACAGGGATCTCTCAGTACTCAGAAGCTTTGTGCTGACTGCCACCTGCCACTTAACCACTGACCCCTTTGGTTGGTTCCAGTGTCTGCATGCCACTGATCTGTGCCCACCTCACTTACATACTTCTCCCAAACACTAGAAAGTCTATGAAAGCTCAACCTGAAGACCAAGGTGTGTCATGCCCTCTCCACAGCACTGGAAACATGAACTATCAGTGGTGTGAGAAGAAGCCACTGCCCAGTTAGTGGCCTTTATTTCTGAGTGGCTGCTGTTTGCAGGTCAGGGCCTTGAAGGCCTCATGGTGGCTCTCGTACAGAAAGAAGACGGTACTCTCTTGGTGACAGTAATGGATACCCTCCACTCACATCAGTCCTTGCAGCTGGTGACTGGGCCGGCCCCATCCCCCAGGCCTTGCTCTCTGCCTCCTGAATTGTGCTCACTGGGGGCATTTCTTGAGTATGCCTGCAGTTCTGTGATCCTGGGGCCAACTCTGACCCCTGCTGTGCCTGCCCAGGTATCTGCAGTGTCTGACCTGCCTGGCCAGCCTTTGAGGTGAGCCTTCCTTCCTTAGTCACCCTGACATCTGTCCTAATGTCTGGCAAAGTGTATGAATGACAATCCCTTTTTGAGAGTGCCTCAGAAGCTTCAATCACTTCTTTGAAAAGGGAAATTGTTTCAGGTTGGGCTTTTTTTATTATTTTAATGTAAAGTAGCACTTTGAAGTTCACAATTTATGGTTCCCTGGGCATCAGGTGGGGAAAGAAGGGTCAGAGGCTCATTCCCCCTTTCTTCTTCAGTCTCCTCGTTTAGGGCCCCTGGGACAAGGCATGCCTCAGAGGCAGCACCTTGTTCTTGAGAGCCCCCTCCTGCCAGGTCACATTTCCAGGGGATCAAGCCTCTGATGAAGAAAAGATAAGAAAATTGCCCCTAATGAGATCCAGAAGTGACCGGCACTTTCTCCTCAGGCTCAGAGACTTGTAGGAGAAAAAGGAACTATAATTCAAACCAGGCCTCGAGCCAGACACAGCTTTGAAGTTGGCAGAGCTCAGGCGGAGCACCATGGGCTGGGAAGAGAGAGTGAGTGGTACCCTGTCCTTAGTCTCCTGAGCCTGTCCGCAGTGCCTAGCCTCAGCAGTGAAACCGTCATGTAGCATCAGGAAGCCTAGCAGTGTCAGTGGTGCTAGTGTTCTGAGTGATGTCTTTAATTTCTCACTGGCCTCCAACTACAAAGCCTACTGCCTTTCTATGGACAGTGAGCTCACATTCAATTGTACAGCGTGCTGCTGTTGCTGCCTTTTCCAAACAGCTGTTTGGGTGGTGGTGGTAAGACACACATGGTCCCTGTGAGTACATACTTTGGTGATACCTGCTGTAGTCACCACTCTCCTTTGTGAATGGCTTCATGTCTGAGAGACATGCACTTGCTGTGTGGAGATTTGGTTAAGCTCTCAGCTACCTTTTTAAAGGTAGTTGCAGTTCATCATGGCATTCCATAGCTTCCCTAGATACAATTCCAGCACAGACAGTGGTGGTGGGCTTAAGTCAAGAAACAGAAGTGTAAGGCTCCGCATCAGAAGTCCAGTGAGTCAGCAGCCTCCCTTGACCTGCTTGGCTCCCAACCATCAGGGAGCCTCAGATGTCCCAGAGATAAGGCCCAGGCCAAGCCTTGTGGGGAAAAGGGCATCCCCAAGGAAATTGCCTGTCCACATCAATCCTGCTGGGGACTGTTGAGGGTTTCTGCCTGGTGAATAATAAGTGATGCATCTCCTGCAGCCTAAGTTAAAGACCTGGTCCCAGGATGAAGCAGGCAGGGTGTTTGAGTGGACCAGTCCAACGAATGGTGAAGAGGTCTGGAGGGCGGGACTGCCTTGTTAAACAGCAACAAGCCATGGCACTGGGGGGAATAATACTAACAGAAATGTGGGCAGTGTGATCTCCAGCACTTGCTTGTAGGGGGTTGAGCAGCAACAGGCCGGAGTCAGAAGAGCAGGTTTGGATATGTAGCAGAGAAGTCTGGCTGGGACATTGTGAAAAAGTGTCTGAGTTAGGCAGGTGTGGTGCATTAGGACAGTGTTCTAGGTGTGAAAAGTGAGGACCCTACTCCTCTGGTCCCTAAGAGACGAACTGGATTAGGGAGAAAGCCAGAAGAACCTCCCATCCGCCCAAGTCCTTGTCAACTTGAGGGTGCCTCTATACAGAGTCAGGGATGTTTTTTCCTGCTGTAGATAAGTGGGAGGAGGTACTGGAAATTGGGGGGCCTGTGGAGGAAAAGACAAGCTCTTAATTAGAGATTATCAGTATAGGGGAAGTGGGGTTAAGAGCAAATGGAGATGAGGGCAGAAGCAGAGTGTCAAGATGGAGAGTAGACCTTGGTAACTTTGCTATATAATATTAACCCCTGGATGAAAGGACACAGAGCTTAGTGCCCCACCCCTGCCCCGCAGCTGTTGCAGCCACCAGTCTGAATTGAGTTAGAGGAATGGGTCCAGTGACTCCAGATGATACTATGAGGCTCCCTAGGCACAGGAGATGGAAACACCTGCTCTCGTGTGGGAACCTTGCTCTTGAGACACTTACTGCAGTTAGTGTGCATTTCAGAGATGCCCCTGGGTACATTCTGCCTTCTTGTGAGATATGGGGTCTCTGGTTCTGGGCCCCTACATTATGCCTTACAATGTAGCTGGCAATGAACAGTTCCTCTGTGAGATGCAGTGTGAGCCTGCATCCCTGCCTGGTGCACCAGCCCCACTTTTCACCAAGCAAATCACAGTGCAGACAGATGTGGGCACAGTCCTCTGGGCTGTGCATATACGTGAAAGCCCACGTGCCACGGGCTGTGGGGTGCTTGATTTTAAAGCAGGACAACACTAGTAATGAAGGCTGCCTAAACTACAGAAGAGACACACATCACGAAACACACAGCATCACATTGCACACATAGGACCACAGTGGTCACCCTCAGAGAAGCCTGCACCCCTCAGCCTCGGCACCATATTGTACATCTGAGCACTTGAGGGGTCTTCACTCCCTCCTGCACCATGAGCTACGGTCCTATGTCCAGCCTTCTCAGAGGGCTGCCATTTTGATTCATTTGTCCTTCCTCCAAGCAGATGCTAAATTGATCTGTTGTCTTGGGAAGCTTCACCTCCCTGCCCCCAATCTCACTCACATACACAAATACACACAAAACCACAAAAGGCTTTTCTAGTTCAGAAACTAAGTTGATGATTCAAAGTTTATTTGGGGAGGTAAAAAGAAAGCTCAGTCTCCAATTTTCTTTGAATACTAGTTAAATAGGGACACCTTCCTGCAAGGTGGTGGGTACGAGGCACAGCCACATATGCAGCAGGAAGTATCCAGCTGATGCTTAAAGTAAAAATCCATGTCCCAACAAGGCCCAAAGATGTCCATGATGTCACACATGGATGCTGGACACAGCCTCTAACACATGCCTTACATTCGTGGCCATCACCAGTTACCCTGACTTTGGCACATTTTCAAAGTGAACTGAGAAGGCACCAGGCCTGGGACATTCAAAGACTGCATCTGCTGAAACCCGCTGCTGCTGTCCATGGGGCCACTCTGGCTCTCCAGCCCGGGGAGTGGTTTTGGTTTGGTTCTGGACCATAACACACAACAAGTGTAAGCAACAGTACTCGTAGCATGAGCTCCATTTAATAATGTTTTTTAGCAGAACTTTCTCTGGGGCAGGTATTGGATATTAAATAGCTCAGCTATACTTGAGAAACCACCATATGCACTCGCTGCAGTACTTAGCAAATGGCAGTTGGCACAGACGACTATAGTTTTACTTGAAAAAAATACTTGGCTTTTTACTTACTGCACTAAGTGTCTCAAGAGCCAGGTTCCCACACGAGAGCAGGTGTTCCCAGCTCCTGTGCCTAGGGAGCCTCATAGCATCATCTGGAGTCACTGGACCTATCCCTCTAACTCAAAAAAAAATAACAATGATGCCAGTGACATAGAAGCCAGAGGACCCAGTGGCATTCTCTTTACCTTGTGATTGACTGGAATATGAACTCCTTGCCCCTGACCACTGTGGCAGGTTTCTAGACAAATGTCAGTGTATTCACTGGGTAGACACACTCAGCTTAAATGATTTGTACCAATGAAATGATAGTCCTGTATGCCTTCCTTACAGCAGGGCACGGTGGCCGCTGTGTAGCCTGAGGCTGAGGTGCTACTCTGAATAACAGGGCATAAGCCTTGCAAATGAGTCCAGGACAGATACCCACAGCCATGGTTCCTGTGTAGAATCCACCAGAGTTTGCATCTTTCCTCATCATCGTGACTGCTGCCTTTACATCACAAGGCATCCGTACCTAGCATTGCCCAAGACCATGCAGCCCCAAGACTAAAAGATGTCCTGCCCAGACTTTTGCAGAGAGTGTGCTGACCCACATCTGTGGTTACCTGGATGTGTGTCCTGCACTCTAGCAATGGTCTGCAGAGCCCCCAAGGTGCAGACAGACCTTGGAAAGCCCCTTCATCCTGAGACAAACAATTCCAGGAGAAATTAGACTGTGTACACCCTCCAGAGCAGCAGAAGCCCAACCCCTCCACAACCGCCCAACTTTGGTTTGGAATACATGTCTGGGCTTCAGTTACCTGAGGTTGAACTTGGTATGTTTTTAGGAATACATGTCTGGGCTTCAGTTACCTGAGGTTGAACTTGGTATGTTTTAATAGACCTCTCCATGCTGACCAGAGCAGAGCCAACTGAAGTAGCAGATAAGGCCTCACCAGTCTACTCTGCCGTTCTCTGGCTGAGCTGTCCCTGGGAGCTCTGGTACAGATAGCATGTGTTCTGCCACCCTGAAATCAGGAGAGTAAGCAGCCAGGATTCCACCTAGAATCCCTCCTGTGTTGGTCCCATTAAATTCTTTAGTGTCTTTACACTCATAGTTGATACTTCTGCTGATTGTGATAGGGAATTTACTAGATAGGAGAGGCTGGAGGAGAAAGTGGAGTTGTTGAGCACTGTGTCAGCATTTGAGTGTATGGCAGGAGGAAGGACCATCTCTTCGCACATCTGTCTTTCCCTCCTGTGGGGTTCCTGCAGACAGAGTTTATAAAGGCCCATCATATATGCTAGAAAGGCTGTGAAACACAGTTGTCTACCGGGTGGGGTGGCATCACAAACAGGCAGCCCAGAAAGATGCAAAGGGCCCCAACAGGCTCAGCCCTACCTGTGCAGTCATGTGACCGGATTCCACACTCACCTTCGTCTGCTCCAGGAGCACAGGACACTCCTGCTAGAGCTAGGAAACCACAGCTAGGACTTTTCATGGTCCCTGCTGGCCCCAGAGGGACACTGGAAATTGGTGTTGTCCATTCTAATGAAGTGATCTCTGAGGATGCTTGGAACCTCCTGGGTCAGTTGCAGGTTCGTGGCTCTGCACCATGGCTTGGCATGGCTAATGGGTTTTACATTGAGAGGTAGAGTGGCTTAGCTTTTAAACTACTCAGTAGTGTTAATGTTTTACACAGTTCTCTTAACTGTGATGTTAGTTTCCCTTTTTGCCATTCTAGGAGTCTTGTTTTCTCTTTAATTCACTCTCACACATACACAGATGGTGATTGGTTATGGGCACAGAGCTCCATCGCATCGGGTAGGTAGGAAGACCATGTCATTGCACCCCAGCAGGGCTACAGAAGGTAGCCAGGGCCCCTATCTTCTCAGCGATATGTAGTTCCCAGTCCTCATGCTGGTTAGTGACCATATGTCTTAGTTACTTTCCACTTTGTTGGGACAAAAGAAGCTTAAGGAAAGGAGGGTTTATTTAGGCTCACAGTTCAAGGGTGTCATGGCTGGAAGGCCATAGCATCAGGAGTTTGAAGCAGGGGCTCGAATTGCATTTACAGTCAGAAAGCAAAGAAGGGAACATGCAGGTGTCAACTTCCTTGGCAGTCCAGGCGCCCAGCTCATGAGATGGTGCCAGGTTCATCTAGGATGAGTCTTCCTACCTTAGCCCAGTGGCTGACTTAATCTAGAAAATCCCCTGTGGCATGATGAGTGGATTGTATCTAAGGTGGTTCCAGATACTGTCTGACTGATATCAGTGGTAACTATCACAGTGTGCCTTTCTTAGATGAGAGCCCTGAGAAGTGTGTTCTTGTTGTTGTGGGTAAGGTAGCTGAGCTGGCAAGCCACAGGTTCAGGAGAGGCCAGAAGGCCATTTGCATTGACTTCTTTCCAATTCTGCAGGCGCCACAGGTCTCGAAGAACTATGTATTTGACACTTATCATCTTCCACTGACCCAGTAATGGCTTCTCCTGTCCTTTACAGAACGGTGGTCATGCCAATTGCAAATGAGTTTGCCCCAGATGTGGTACTGGTGTCATCAGGCTTTGATGCTGTGGAGGGCCATCCCACACCTCTTGGAGGGTACAATCTCTCTGCCAAATGTAAGTTACTGGAGTTTACCTTCTCTATGTCTATTTATCCCATGACTGGTTGTGTTCTGTGTGAGGCAGTAGGAAGGACATCACCTTCATTTCTTACTCAGAATGAAACTGTGCTGACAGCCATCAGCAAGCCCTGAGCAGCAGGAGGCTAAGAGTTAAAAGCCCTAGACTCTACTCTGGGGACAGAAACTCAAGGGGGCATCTAGTTCACAAGGGCATGCATGCACTAGGTTCTGTCAGCTGGACTGTGGACACTTGGCGAGCATTTAGTCTTCTCCAAGTATGAGAGGGTGCAGCTCCAGCCCTACATAGCCAACATGTGCTTGGTGCTGAGTTTTTTACTCTGCTAGAGGAGGAGGAACCAAGAAAGAGAACCTGTAGCATATAATTGCTGCACTTGTCCATGGAAGAACTTGCTGGCACTGTCTGTGACCCCTGCTGCTGTGCTGCTCTGCTGCAGCACATGGAAAAGATATGGAAGGCCTCTGGGCTGTAACACCTTGGGTCACACAATGGCCTGGCAGTTTCTCACCCAGCCATGGTGCCCAGAGGCAACAAAGAGTCTAGGATCCTGAAGCTTAGTACCTTATTCAGTCAAGGCCCTGGCATCCTGGATCTGCTATCTCTGCCTGCCCATCAGCACATCTAATCAAGGAGGACAGTCTGTTTCTCACCTTCACCAAGGAGGGTGTGGACTCAGCAAGGGAGTAATCAGCTAGAGGTGGCCTTTGGGGAGTCAGTGCACTACTAGGGGACCTCTTGGAGCCCACTGCCCTACTGTGGGGTCCAGATAGGGAGCAAAAAGCACCCACCATACTTCATAGTCAGCACATTTTATACCCTCCAGCCCCAAAGCCAGTGTCGGTGTTTCCATCAAACACACCTGTGTTTACCATCCATTTTCTGCCTACTAGCACTTCACAACTAGCGGGGGTACAGCCTAGTGTGAACCTGAATCTGCTGTCATGAGTAGGCTGGTCAAGGCCACTGGCTTACTAGGGCTTTCCTAGTGCCTAGCCAATAGCAGCCTGCCTGGGGCATGGTACCTCTAAGCACTAAGTGACATGCAAGGTGGGGGCTTTGAACAGAAAGAAGACTCTGTGACTCTAGATGGAAGTAGATTCCCAGACATGGATGTGGAAAGGTCCTGTCACCACACACAGCATTGACATGGGCATGCTTCTTTCTACTTCTGAGCTCATCAGATGCCCAGAAAAGCAGATGGGACAAAGCCTTTGGATGGGGCTTGGCTGCATTACAAAGGTACAGCACTAAAACCAAAATTCACACTCAGTTGGATGAAGATGAAATCCAAAAGCCAAACTAATGTATGTGCTAATTTGGCCTCAGTTACTCAAGATAACATCTCATCCCCTGCTGTTTATAGGAGGGTGCTGTGTGGAGTTTCTGAAATGCTCCACTCACATATCCCTCTGCCTTTGCAGGTTTTGGGTACTTGACGAAGCAGCTGATGGGCTTAGCTGGTGGCCGGATTGTGCTGGCTCTTGAGGGAGGCCATGACCTGACGGCTATCTGTGACGCTTCTGAAGCATGTGTTTCTGCTCTGCTGGGAAATGAGGTATGGAGTCATCAAGTCCCTGCAGAATGTGCCACACCACAGGCAAAAGGCTGCTGCCACAAGCTCAGATAGTGGAAGGCATCGGTGTCTGACCTGGGTGGGCAGCTCACCTGGTGTTGGGCTGCAGCTGTTCCCCACCCCATGTAGTGGAACTAGTATGACTTTGGCTAAAAGATGAACAGAACAAACACAGAGCTGGCCCAAGACTCTGAGAGGTGCTTGCTGCAGCGTGCTTTCCCTTCCTGTGCCAGTCATGTCCTGGGTAATGTGGTGGCCATGCTTCATCTTACTCTTCTGGTCTCCAGTATGGACAAGATTTCTCTGGCAGCTTGTCCATGGGCTTGGGTGGTGTCTTAGTTAGGATTTCTTTTGCTGCAACAAAACACCATGACCAAAGAGCAAGCTCGGGAGAATGGGGTTTATTTAGCTTATACTTCCAGATAATAGTCAATCCTTGGAAGAATCAGGACAGGAACTCAAGCAGGGCTGGAACCTGGAGGTGATCCAGAGGCCAGGGAGGGGTGCTGCTTAGTGGCTTGCTCAGCCTGCTTTCTTATAGAACCCAGGACCATCAGCCCAGGGATGGTACCACCCACATGGGCTGGGCCCTCCCCCATTGATCACTAATTGAGAAAATGCCTTACAGCTGCATCTCATGGACGTCTTTCCTCAACTGAGGCTCCTTCCTCTCTGATGACTCTAACTTGTGTCAAGTTGACACACAGAACCAGCCAGGCCAGGTGGTATCAGCATGCTCAAGCTGAATTATTAGCTCAGGATTGGGCCAGGACCTCTTAGCAACCAGTTGCCTTCTCCATTCAGGAGTGTGATGCTCAGGTCAGGGCTCTGCACAGCCCCACTGGTATTGCAGGACAAAGTCAGGGATATTGGCTTGCACAGCTGTCTTCAAGGGCCTGGTCAAATAAAGCTTTTGAGGGAAAACCACTATGTGGGTTTTCTTCTACTATGCCTGAGGAGGGTCCCTTGTTGACATTCCCTGCCATGGTCCTGAGTTCCAAAGCCCTGACAAAGGATTTGCATATACACCTGACATAGGTCTCTGCTAATTCTAAACCTCACAGAGAACCAGAGCAGAGCTTGGACCAGACAGTCTTACAGTAAGTAGCCTTCAGGGTATTGGGTCCTAGGTAACTCTAGAAGGCAGAGCAGGGCCATGTCCTGTGGTGTGATCCAAAGGTGTGAAGCCAGAGCAGGGAAAAGGAGCAGAAGGAAACCAGGCCCTTTTGGATGTGGTTGTATTAGAGCTTCCAAATAAAACTCAGCTGGAAACTGTACATACGCAGCTAGAGCCCAGAAGAGGAGCTGGCTGCAAACCTGTTGTGGTTGACCAGTAGGGTGTGGCAGGGAGCCTGAGTCAGGATTCCTAGAAAGAATGGATGAGCCTCCCCTCCTGAGGAAGGAACAATGCTCACAGTTGACAGGTGACCCAGTTCACTGAGCATCAGCTGAGGCATGACCTCACAGGAGAAATGTGTGGATTCCAGGGTCTGGGAGAGGATGTAAGGGAGTCTTCCCAGCTTTACTTTGATGAGAGAGAGCAGACAATGACATCTGTTTAATGGAGGACTTCAGAGGTAAAAAGAAGACTCATCCGCTGCCAGCCCATGAAAAGCAAATGACATATGATCTGCTCTGATTGGCCTTAGGTGCCTGCAAGAATCTCTTCCTGAATTCCAGCTTAGAAAACACAGCTGGCCAGGCCTTGCCCTCACCATAAAAATGAGATGCCAGGTAGGCCCACACTAGAAACAGATATAATCAGGACTACTTTTTGAACCTCATTCCAAGTCAGCCATTGGCAAGGCTGTACTCTGCCGCGAATGGATGAATAAGTGTGTAGTGGCATTGCCAGTGACGGGGTACCCTGCAGAACCAGCTCCAAGTAGCTTTCATTATAGGCTGTTGAAACCTACTGGAAATGTGGCATTCAGCCCACTTGGTTGTCAGGCAGGCCCACCCTAGGTGCTGAGTTAGAAACTACAACACACTCTGCATCCTTCTGCCTAGCTTTGTTTCTCGTAGAGTTTTGTGCACACACACACACACACACACACACACACACACACACACACACACACACACACACACACACATACACACGTGTCTGTGCTGCACTGACTTTGTGATTTCTACATATTGTCTCATTATATAATGTTGGGGGCAAGGTATTTTTTCACTGATAGATTTCAGATTTCCAGAAAGTAATTGGCACTTTCTAGATTGCTCAATAAGTAGCTTTAAATACAGGAATAACCATCCTGCTTTTGCTCCTGTGGCTCTGGAGTACTGTATGGGAGTACTCCATAGTACCTCCAGTATTACTTTCTGTTCAGGGTTGCTTTAACTGCTCGGTGCCTGTGTTTCCAGCTCAATTTCCTGATTGTGTAAAGATTGTGTCATTGGAATTTAGATAGGGACTGCATTAAGTCTATAGATGGCTTTCAATAATATGGCCATTTTCCCAATACTAATTTTCCCAGTCCGTGAATGTGGGAGGTCTGTCCATCTATGTTTTTCCTTTAGTGTTATATACTTTTCGTTATAGAAGTATCTCACATCTTAAGTTTATCTTTGTTTTTATTTTTGAACAGGCTTATGAATAGAATTGGGTTTTTCTCAGCAAATTTGTTAATGTATATTTAAAAGTATTGACTTTGTGTTGATTTTTGTTTCCTGTTTTGCTAACAGTGTTTTTCAGATCGAAGAATTTTTTGGTGCAGTCTTTAGAATTTTTTAAGTATAGAATAGTATTGTATGCACAGGGATAATTTGACTTATTCCTTTACTATTTGCATCTTCTCTGTTTCTTTCTCTTTTCTTGTTGCTCTGGCTGAGATTCCAAACACTGATGTGAATGAGTGGTGGTGCCTGTTGTGTATGGGTTTTGTTGTGTTGACATTGTCAGCCTACTGTTCCAGCTTCTTCTGCACTTCTATTAGGATGTGATGTTGAATTTTTCCACATCTATTGAAATGATTGTGCGATTTCTCTCAGTTCTGTTGCTATGGTACATCACACTTAACAGTTTACTTACACTGAGCCATCCTTAGTTGCCTGAAGTGGATCTCACTTGGTTATGGGTGACCTTTAAATGCACTGTTGAACTGAGTTTGTACTACCCCCCACACACACACACACACACAGTACTTTGCATTCATGTTTGTTCATCAAGGAGATAAGTGTTGCCTGCAGTGTTACCCAGTTTTGGTATGAAGACAATACAGTGCTGGCACAAACAGACGTGTACGACCATGGAGTGGAATGAACAGGCCTCACACATTTTTTGTTTGTGTGAAATCCAGAAGCAATAAGAACAGGCTATGACAGGGAAACTGTTAGGGAAGAAGAAGGGGGCCCTGTGGGATGGAGGGGGCAAGTATGGGTGACAGGGGGAAATGTGACTCTACTTTAAACCTTAGATACCAGATGACGTCCACGATTGATAAGCACTTGTGAACAAAAGAACAGAGCCCCAGTTAGGACAGGGCTGGCATTTTGAGATGTGTGGAAATGCTCTCCCTGTGCCCCCACCTTCCCATCACTAGAGCAAAGCCCTCATTCATGAAGTGATCTACGTGTGGCATTACCAAAACACCCTTACACATAGTTGTCTTCACAGACTCACCCCAGCCTGGAGTGCAGACTCATCATACCATCCAAAGTGTCCAAATGCAGTTTGATCCTTCCTCTCTTCTATAGGGGGACACATAGAAGCTTCGTCACTGAGGATCAGCCCCCTGTGTCCTGTGTTCTTTCTCTTGGGGACATAGAGCATCTCACTGCTGAAAGGCCACCATATTCATCCATTCCAGATTTCATGTCAGCTTTCATAGGGAGATATTTTCCAGAAAAAGCAAAGAAAAAGAAGTTTAGAAAGATTTCAGAGCAGCTGGCACAGGCAGAGAGCAGGCATATGGCCAGCTCGGATGGCAGTTGGCCCCCTGTGCATTCTTTATGGACTCCTGCTGCGAGGGAGCCCTGGAATCCCAGGATGCTCTGCTCAGCCACTGCACTGAGGCAAGTCCACGACACTGGTGAAGAAGCAATGCTGGCACAGTGACTAAAGATGAAGAGTTGTGGCTGGGGACTTTGGGTGTCACTGAAGCTGTTAGCATGGTGAGCATGCTGCACACAACTGAGCATGTGGCCTAAGGTGCCCTAGATATGCATATTAAACTTAATTTAATCTAGAGGTAGTCTGGTACAAGGGAGGCCTAAGAGAGCTGAGGAACCAGGGTTCTGTAAAAACCTCTACAGCCTTCTTCTGGTGAACCTCGTGAGCATGCACTGCTGCTCCAAAGCAGTAATAAATGTGTGTTCAGGGTATTGTCTGAAGAGATGATACTGCATCTGTGCTGCAACCATGACCCCGTATTTGAGGATCTCTGTTCTGTCCCTGCTTTCCATCCACAAGGGGGCCTAGGCCCTATTTTAGTTAGGGTTTTATTGCTAGGAAGAGACACCACAACCTCAGCAACTCTTATAAAGGAAAGCATTTACTTGGAGTGGCTTACATTTTCAGAGGTTTAGTCTGTTGTCATCATGGTGCAACATGGTGGCCTGCAGGCAGACATGGTGCTGGAGAAATAGCCGAGTGTCCTGCTTCTTGACTTGTAGGCAGCATGAAATGTTCTGAGACACTGAGGGTGGCTTGAGCATAAGTAAGACCTCAAAGCCCACCTCCACAGTGACACACTTCCTCCATCAAGGCCACACCTACTCCAAGAAAGCCACACCTCTTAGGAGTGCCACTCCCTTTGGGGACTGGTTTCTTTCAAACCACCACAGGCCCCCTGCAACCAGACATCAGTCCCTGTTGGGAACATTGCCATCTGCTGGTGGGGGCACAGACTTAAACTCAGGTCTTCACGCTTATACACGCTGTCTATTGAATCATCTCCTCAGTCCTTTCAGATGTGCGTGTGTCTGCCTGCCTGCCTATCCTATGGCACATATGGAGGTAAAAGGACAGCTTTGAGGAACTAGTCCTGTTTCATCAAGGGGTTCTGGGGACTGAACTCAGGTTGTCAGACTTATAGCAAGCACCTTTACCCACAGAGCTGTCTTACCAACAACCCTCAGTTACTAGTTTCTCTGACTGACTCTCCATCTCATGAATTAGTGTGCTTAGATCTCAAGGCATGAGAGCATGAGCACTGATGGCCTCTGTTGCCAGCTCAATAACAGGTGATTGTCATACAGAAAGGAGATGGGACTGGCAGGGGTGGCTGGACGGTCGACTACTGTGGTCAGTCAGCACAGATGTTCCGCGTGCTTCTGGAATCACATGTACCCCCCACATGAGCTTGCCCATCTCTTAGTCACTCCTGCTTCCTGGGCTGGTTTATCTGCTGTATCTTAGAAATGCCTGTTGCTATCTCCCACCATGGTGGATTTTTCTTTGTGTCTCTTCTCATCTTAAGACTGTTTTGAGTACCAAGCCATCCTGTTTGTTTTTGTTGTTGCTGTTTTGGTTTGGTTTGGTTTTTGTTGGGTTTTTTGGGGGAGGGGGAGGCGGTGAATTGAAGCTCTGTCATTGCCATGCAGCCTTCTTTCCATTCAGTCACAGTCGGCCCTCAGGTCTCTGTGCTAAACATCTAGATGCCACTCAGCCTTCTTTCAACCCTTGTTTTTGTATCTGGCTTTCAGCTGTCCTCCTAGATTCCATGTGTGTCTTTTGCTAAACAGCCCAAAGCTGGTCTCTGTACCGGCCATCTACTGTATGTGGGACCTTGTTCACTTCCAGCCCTTCTGATCACTTCTCCAGACTCATTCTGTCTGGCTTGTCCTGTAGCTCCCAACTTTCCTTTCTTACCACCTCTTAATATGATCTGATTGAGGGTTCCCTAAACTCCCTGTGTTCCCAGTGCCCAGTTGAAAGATGTGCAGCAGGCTTCCTCACTGTGGGCCAGCACCCTCAGCAGGGTCAGGAGGTGCCGTTATCCCTGGTGAGCCAAGGCTGGGACCACAGTGGTCTCGCTAGGATCTCCAAGGTGAACATATGATCCCTGTATATTTAAGAAACTGTTGTTCATTGGAAATTCTAACTTAACTAGGTCTTGCATGTTTTTCTGCCAAACTGGCAGCCTAGTCCCAGCCCCTCCCAGGCTACACGTCTTTCTCTCACTTAATTTCACTGACTGCACATTTTTGTTGCTGTCATGTGTCACCCACATTGGTTGTGGGCTGCATTGCACTCAGACGGTTTCTTCCCCCATTATTCCTCGTTTCCTGCCTTCCTGTGTCTAAGGGATACCCTGTGGGTTTTCTCTAGGAAAAGGACCAGGGTAAACAACATCCCACTTTGTTTGGGGAGGTGCCTTTGTTCCACCTTGATCTCAATGACACCTCTCTAGGCATATGATGCAGGGCAGCCAGTGAGACCTCTTAGCACATAGAGACAGCAAGCCACTGCCCTTTGCTTCCCTTGCTTTTGGAGAGCTGTGCATGCCCCCACCATACTGACCGTGGAGAGGACCTGCTTTCCCTAGCAACTTGAAGGATCTGAGTCTGCCTTTGATGTTCTTCGGGTTGTTTCCAGCGTACCTATAGGTTTCCGGTTTTGCTGTCCCTGCAGGGCTCTTCCCTGCCTGAGCCTGGGATTTCCCAGCTCTGGAGAGTCCCGTGGTCATTAGTTGTGGGATATTTAATCACACTGTGACACTCTGAAACTGTTAGTAAAGTTAACCTTGAATCATGGGGCAAGCCAGCAACTAGCTGACTAGAATTAGCCTAGAGAAGCCAGGAATTTGGATAGAGAAGATGAAAAGGAAGGAAAGGGCGGGACTAGAATTTGGTGCTTCTTTTTGGTTTTGGGACAAGTGAAGAGATGCATCTCCAGCCGAAGCCAAGGTCATCTGGTTACTTGTCAGCTACTCTGATCTAGCAGTTTTCACCCTCACATCTGACTTCTGAGTCTTTGTTGGTCAGTAGAACGATAGAGACTTAGTTTAAACCTACATATTGTATCCTTGGCAGAGCGAAGGCCACAGGCCTGGAAGGCCCTCCAGGCCACAGCCAACAGAAAACTATCAGTCATTTCCTTCCTCCAATATCCATTCCATGGGAGCTGGGCCTCCCTCCTGAACACGGTCTGGCTTGTGCTCTTTGTTGTCATCCCTTGAGCTATAGCATCATCGGTGTTTGGACTTCCCAGCCTACCTCCTTACATTCTGGTTGTTGCTGCTACACTCAGGTCTAGAGCTCTGGCTAGCTCCCCAGTCTACCAGGTCAGGTTCAGGGACCTCTTCCTTTCATCATTGAAAACACATTGAACAGGTGTAACTGCAGTCTCTGATAATCCAGATGGACTTTTTATTTGGGAGGGGGTGTGTGTCAATGACAGTGCCTAAATTCCCTCAGCACCAATCAGAAACTCCTCTACTGCCAGCCTCCCCACTGCATGAGACCTTGTCATAACCTGGCTCTCCTCTGGCTGTCCACAGAACTCCAGGTGTGTCTGGATATCACCAGCACTACACAGGGCCCTTCCTCTGTCCTACCCAGGATCTAGTGTCGTGTTTGGTCCTTCTGCACCCCTTGGTCTCCTCTCCCTATCCCACCTCCCATTGTTTTTCATGGCGCTGATGACTGCGGGAAGTTCTGGTCTAGATTTTCCAGGAACGTCTCTCAGTTTGTTGGTCAGTGTGAGCATGAAATGTCCCTTACGAACTAGTGTATTTGACACTGTTGGGGATGTTGCATAACCTTTTGGCTGTAGGGCCCTAGGGGCATGGCTTGAGGGTCACAGTCAATTCTGTTCTCACTGTGCTCCTTTGTGTGAGAGCCTGTGTGGCTCCTCTTGTGGTTGCACCTCCCTCCGGCCTTTACTGAGCCCTCAAGCTCTGAGCCAAACAAATCCTTCCTGCTATCACAGCAGTGTGGAAGATAAGTGTGAGGTTTTGCTCAGGGGGGATGTCAGTGGCCTGACCATTGTCAGCACCGCACCTTGGACTGCACAGTGCTGTATTCACCTCAGTTATCTCAACTCCACTTGGAAGTCACCTCTTTACGCCTGCACCAGACAGGTGGAGAACCATTAAGTCCTATGTTCTGGAATTATTAGCAGTTCTAGCAGGAATATGTCTTCCCACACATACACTTGCTTGCTTCTGTGTTTATGCTCAGGTTATAGTTTGGGTGCTAAGTCCATACTGTGTTACCTTAGTGCTCAGCCTGCCCCAATTGTGGCCAGGTTGACCTCTGTGTTCTCTGGTGTCCCTGTGGCTTGTCCTCAAGCAGCTCCTAATTCTGACTTCACAGGGTGCTGCGAGCTTCTCCAGTCTTTTCCTGCCCAGCCTTGCCTCAGCCATTGTCTCTTTTGTTGGTGAATGACTTAAGGGTGCCATGTTGGCTCCACTTGCCCCAGGCTCCTGCTGGCTGAGTTGAATGATGTCTTCAGTTAGAAGGTCATGCTTCCTGGGATGTAATTGGCAGCACTCACATGCAGCCAGATTGGGGATGGATGTCACACAGAGGGCTGCAGTGACTTTGGCCTGATGCCCTGGATCATGAAGCCCAGCAACTATACATGGCAGCTGTCTAGTCAGGTTGAGGCCAGGCAAACTCAGGGTGACTTTGTTGTGTGGCTTCCACCCAGAGCTGAGGTAAGACCAGCTTCCCTTTAGGACTGGCTCTAGCTCTTCCCCTGGTCTGGGTCTGTCTGCATAGCTGTTGTTGCAGATGTTCATTCTGCCCTGGGGCCCTGCTGCTTGCTTTATGCCTTGTTAGATGTTTCATCTGCCAGAGACCCACTCACTTCCCTCCATGCGCCCCCATCCTCCACATGTGTGAGAAAAGCAAGATCAGACATCTTGGGCATTACAGAGCCAGGCCATAGAAATGTAGCTTCAGAAACTAACCATTCTTTCTCTGCTTTTAGTGGTACACAACAATGACACCAAGCTGACATCCGCTATGTAGCCTCCTCGTGGGCCTGACCTCCTAGTAACCCATGAATACAGCCCAGTGTACCCTAAAGAGGAAAACAAATACCGAGTCATGTTGGCTTTTTAGAGTTACTTTGTCTTCCCTACAAATTACTGTATTTTAGGGAGCCAAGTGCTGTCTCTGGACACCCATTACACATACATATACTATACGCTGTCCATTGCCATCATAATATATCTGTGTCTCTCTTACAGCTTGAGCCTCTGCCAGAAAAGGTTCTGCAGCAGAGACCCAATGCCAATGCTGTCCACTCCATGGAGAAAGTGATGGACATCCACAGTAAGTGGCTGGCCAAGTTATCACGGGGACCCAGGGCAGGAACACAAGGCCTCTCCTTCCCTGGCATTTGATTACCAGAAACAGTTCCTGCTCTACTGGGGTCCAAAAGAATCTGGCACCAATGGTCTCAGGTTACTTAGTTCAGATGCCCAGAACCAGGGTGTCTTGGACTATAAGTCTGTGTCCTGGACCAGAGGTACCCAGAACAGGATAGAACCCCATCTCCCATTCAAGCAGCAAGTCTCAGGTCTAGGCAGCACCCTGTCCCAGGTACTCCGTGCCTGGGCTGTCTGATATGCCTTATTACGTAGATGATGCACACCTGAAGGCTTCTCCTAGCTCTCCTTTGGGCTGTTTATTTCTGGCCTTAAAGCTATTCCCACTGATGTCCCTGAGTCTCAAAAGCTGCTCAGGCAGGACTCCCAGTGCTGGTCTGGGTGTGGCGTATCCCCAGCATCTACAAGGCTCCAGGTAGGAAATCCAAGGCTAGGTGTCATCGAGTGTGGGGGTTCACAGCATGTGACTGCTCCCAGAATTTCTGGTTGCCCTCAGCAAGGCACGGTCCATGAATGTGGAGAACCAGGCCCCACAACACTCCCAACCCCATGTCCAGTGGCCTGTGCTACAGATAAGTGTTTGTGAGTTTGTCACCAGGCAGCGCTCTTCAGAGAGGTGCTTTTCAGGCACAAGTGAAAGTCTTCACAGGGCACCAGTGACCTGTGAGCCAAGCCAGCAACCTGCAGAGGTGGGAAAGTCACTGAGTTTTCTCCCTTCCCTCAGGCAAGTACTGGCGCTGCCTTCAGCGTTTGTCCTCCACTGTGGGGCACTCTCTGATTGAAGCCCAGAAGTGTGAGAATGAAGAAGCTGAGACAGTCACCGCCATGGCCTCACTGTCTGTAGGCGTCAAGCCTGCTGAGAAGAGGTAAGCCTCTGCCCATATCCTCCCTAAGCCTACTGGGAACACCTGTGTGTGCGACCTGACAGAATCTTACTGTGTGCACCCAGCCCTGTGCCAGGCTAGCCCTGAGTGGACAGGACATGCCCACTGACTCTACAAACTAAAACTGTCCACCAGGGAAGAACTTGAGCCTTGATGGGGCAGGGAGCTCAACAACTCTGTGGGAAAGGGAGCCTGATTGCACAGGGCCTCACCTTACCCACCATGCACACTTCCCGGCCCCTTTCTCTCCTCCACAGATCGGAGGAAGAGCCTATGGAGGAGGAACCACCACTGTAGCCCCGAAGCTGCTGTTCTCTCCTTTGTTTGTCTGTCTTGAAGCTCAGCCAAGAAACTTTCCCGTGTCACTCTTGTGTCCTGCCTCGGTGCTCTCTCTGAGTGCAAAGGGACACCAGGCGTGCAGCAGCAACGGGAGGCCTTTCTGCCACCCTGGACCACAGGTCTGGAGATGCACACGAACACCAGGTGTGGCAGATCACATGGAACACAGGACAGCGCGCAACACACAGGCACACAGACACGCGGAAGCCAAGCACACGCTGGTGGTTCCCCTGGGGACGCCCGAGAAAGAAGAGGCCTGTGGCAACTTGGGCAGAGTTGCTGAACCGAGTTGACAATGAGGATAATGAAAATCAAAGATCTAATAATACAGAAAAAAACTTGATTAAAACTGGTGCTTAACATTTGATTCTTACCCACAATCCCACAGTCTCTGTGTAAACCACTCAACTCATCTTGTAGCTTTTTTTTTTTTTTAAACAGAGAGTTTTCTATGGCTCTGGCCTGCCTTGTGAACCTTAGTGGGGTGCTGTGGGGGTTCACAGCTTAGTGAGGGACAGAGTTGGAAGAAACTTTAAAGGAAAAAAAAAAAAAAAAAAACTGGACAGAACAGAAATGTGAGCCTGGGAGTCAGCTGGAGCTTCCTGAAGCCATCGGAAGATGCGAGTTTGTGCCTTTTTTTATTGCTCTGATGGATTTTTTTTGTGGCTGGGTTTTCTGAAGTCTGAGGAACAATGCCTTAAGAAAAAAAAAATAATAACCACCAAGAATTGGTGTGACAGTGTCCTGTGGCTGGCTGAGCTGGTGACACTGGCCTGGCATTACAAGAGTAGGTGCCAGCCACTGTCCCCAGGGGGCCGCAGTACAGCCAGCCTTGCTTGGTTTGATCGCTGTTTAAGGAAGATGAGGTAGTTCCAAAAGCAGCGAACGCCGCCGCCGCCGCCGGCAGTTTTGAAGTCCAACACGTTTTCAACGGATCCAAAGTGTTCTTTTCTCTTCCGTCACGTAGCAGTCGAGCACCTCCATCGGGTTGGGAAGCATGTCGTAGGCACACTGCAGTGTTACGATCGGAATGCTTTTCAGTAAAAGCAGGTAGCATGAAGTATTGCTTAAATTTTAGGTATAAATAAATATATATATGTATAATATATATTCCACTGTATTCCAAGCTAAGAAACTTGATTCTTATGAGATCTTGATAAAATATTTATAATGCATTTATAGACAAAGTATATATAAATATATATAATAAATACAGACCGCAGAGGTCCTGGCAGGTGAAAGACATGTGTGTTAGCTCTGAGGTGCTGAGGGCTGGGGTCTGGATTGAAGCCCAAGGAATTTTGAGCTCCAGATTGGCCAGCTTCCAGATCGCCAACATGTTCACCCCTGGGCAACTTCCCTACCAGTTTGTACTTTAATTTTAATTATTTTCTAACAAAGCCTCTGCCCTCTCCAAGCCTCCATGCACATATGTACCCGATGAGTTTTTATAGCAAAGGATATAAATTTGCTGTTGATTTTTGTATGAATTTTTCACAAAAGATCCTGAAGAAAACATTGTTTTGTGGATTTTACATTTTTTTTTCCCTCACCGTTCAGCAGTTTTCTGAAGGTGGTAATGTCTAAAACTTTTTCTTTCTAAATTCTTACTTGTACATTTTTTTATAGCTCTGAAGGTTGTTTTTATGGTTTGGTTTTATTTCTTTTTATACAGCAGGCAGAGCTCTGCTGTGTGCAGGACCACTGCGGTCATGCTTGGTTTTAGAGAGAACCTCTCGGGACTGGATAGCAGGTCTGCGTGGTGCCCTTGCGTTGTCTTTTTCAAGTTCCACCCAGGAGCTGCACAGCCAGGGCCTTCTGTCCTGCAACACTGGTAGTATTACAAGGGCAGGCTAGCCACGTGAGTCATGAGGGCCGTCTGCATTAATGATGTGGACTTGTAACCACTCCATCAGGATAGAACTCCAACTCTAGTTTCCCAAAGACCTTGGAAGCATGTCCACAGCGCCTGGCTCAGAGCCCGCCCGGCCCTGCACCTTCAGGGGTTTCCACTGCAGCCTCATAGCCTGGGCTCTGGCTGGAGCCACAGCCCTGGGTTTGTAGCCTGTGGCTGCTGAACCAAGACCCTTGTCACTTGAGCCTGTAGGAGCACAGGGTCCTGAGGGACAGTCCGTCTTTGTCTTTGCTCTTTTTGTTGTTGTTTTTCTATGACAACTGACTCTCTTTTTACTGCTAACTTCTTTTCTAGCACTTAAAGCCACCAATTTCATTCCAAAGTATGTGGAGTTCAGACTGGCAAGGGGAAGTTGAGGTACTCAGAAGGAACACCCAGCTAAGTTTCTGAGTTAGGTGGCATTCACAGGGTGATGGAAACTGGGTCAGGCTTTTGACAGACAGGCTGAGCACACAATCTTGGACTTTTGGTCGCTGTGCTTCTGTGAGTCAGTGCTAAGCTTAGACAGTGGGTAGAACACAGGGTAGAGAGGTCCTGTGACATGCCTGGCAACCTTCCTCCCCATGGCTACTGTGGCCCTTTGTAAAAGGAGCCAACCTAAAGGAGCCCATGTAGCCCCTCCCCTGCTTGTGGCACTGCATGGTGGCAGAGGCCAGCTAGCTGCTCTTCTGGCCGCCTTGGCCCATTTTCTGCACACCCTGCCACCTGCCCTCTTTGTGCCAGCCACGGCTCGTGGGGAGGTACACATCATCTTGCTTTTTCAGGTGATGGGTAATAGGCTACCCAGTGGCCAGGGTATTGTGAGAGGGACTCATTTTGGTCCCATCACATCACCCTTTGATTTGGGGGCCTGGCTAGGGAGCCAGCTCACTCCAGCTTCCCTGTGAGCTGAAAGCATTACCTACCATATAGCCTTTTCTTCCCTTTGAAGACACACGTGGCCCTTCCCCACAGTTACCACCCAGGGCAGAGGGAGGGCAGAAGGTCGGCCTTGACCTCCAGGGCAGGACCACAGCACTCCCCTGCCTGGACCTTGAACCTTCCACCTTCTCCCTTCCTTTGCAAAGGCCTTGGTGGGTGCTGGCAAGGGAGCCGGGAGCAAGCACTTTACATCCCTTTAAGGGAAGCCCCAAGACACCATGTCCTTAGGATGCTGGTGTTCACTCACCCTTGGGTCTTCCAGCTGCACCCTGAGAGCCCGTGCCCCACCAGCAGGCGGCTATTCCCAAGGCCACACCCACAGGGGCATCCCGGGGCTCTGGCTTCCGAGGGCCGCTTTATCAAAGTGTTTCAGTTTTTCTTTACTTTCAAATCTGTCCCCAAGAGGAAGGACCATTTTGCAATGGTCTTGGCAGCACTGGTGATGGACTTGGTTGTGTTTCTTTCCGTCAGAACATTCCTTCTTCACTGGTCACAGCCACGTGCTCATTCCATCCTTCTTTTTGTAGACTTTGGGCCCATGTATTTTATGGGCATTGATACATATATAAATATATAGATATAAATATATAAATATATTTTTTTAAGTTTCCTACATCTGGAGGTTGCATGGACGTACGCGGCATGTCTTTATATTGTATACAGATTTTGCACGCCAAACTCGGCAGCTTTGGGGAAGGAGAAACAATGCCTTTCTTTCCCCTCACATGATGTTTGCAGATGCAGAAATTTTTTTCTGTGAAACACAACAAAACCTTGAAGGAGAGGAGGGGGGAGTTTGAGTCTTATTGAACTTATTCTTAAGAAATTGTACTTTTTAATGTAAGAAAAATAAAAGGACTACTTACACGTCTCATTAAGAAGTTGACCTAGCACCTTTGACAAACCGATAGAGAGTTGATTGTATCCATGTGCAAGCTCCATATTCAGACCCTACTGCCTGTCTCTCAAGCTGGTTGAGAGGATTTTGTTTTGTTTTGTTTCCTTTTCTCTCCCTGCACAGGGCCAGGTGCACCCTGCCTGCTGTCACCGGCCCCTGGTTGAGAACCTGGGGTTCGGATGAGTTCCCGTCTCAGCATAACTGTGTTGACGGGTTCGTTCCTTCTGGAAGACACGGGGCTGGGGTTCCACATTGAGCAGTCCAGGTCTTTGTGAGCCCTGGATCTAAGCGATACTTGGCACTGGAGGAAATCGTTTCTCCCTCTCACGGGTCCGGGCATACTCTGCACCCGGCCTTGATGGCCTTATTGGCCTCACATTGATCAAAGTCTCCTATGGAAAGAAAAAAATGCAGACAGGCCCTGTTCTGGGGGTGTGCACTCCCCTGAGGAGGCACCATTTTTCCAATCTGTAAGAATGTTAACCATGCTGTTTCTATGTATGCACAGGAGGCTGACCTCACTCAGCAAGAGCTCACTACAGAAGTGTGGTCGAAGCCATTAAAGCGCTGCGCCATGATGCTGTGTGGGCTCCGCAGCCACGACCACCTTCACTCTGTAACAGCCTGTTTTCTCTTTGGTTGTCTGGACCTCCCCTCGGCGGCGCTTTCTCCTCTTGGCGGGGTTGGAGGTCATGTTTGGTTTTCTCATTCTTGTTTCATTTTGTGTGGTGGGTTTCACTGACCGGAGGTGTCCTCTGATGGTCACCTCTTTCCACCTCCCGGGTCCAGTGTTTGTACCACATCACACACTTGTCACTCTTGTGGTGTAAATAAAGACTGCGTTTAATTGCCCTCCCATCTCTGCTCTCTGCTTGTGCTCTCTCCTTCAGCATGTATGTGCCTGGGACCCTGGGGACTGACACCTGCGCCCAGGGGAATCATGGGGACCCATTACTTGGACTTCTGTCTTAGGAATTTCTATTGCTGTGAAGAGACACGATGACCATGGCAACTCTTACAAAGAAAACATTTAATTGAGGGGGCAACTTAACAGTTTCAGAGGTTCAGTCCATTATCGTTGTGACTGGGAGTGTGGTGGTATGAAAGCAGACGTGGTGCTGGCTACATCTTGACCAGAAGGCAGCAGGAAGTGGACTGAGCAAAAGAGACCTCAGAGCCCACCCCCACAGTGACACACTTCCTTCAAAAAGGCCACACCTCCTAATAGTGCCACTCCCTTTGGGGGCCATTTTCTTTCAAACCACATTCCACTCCCTGGCCCCCAAAGACTGATAGCCATATCATAATGCAAAAAATGCATTCAGTCCACAGTCTCTTCTGAGACATGTGGCAGTCTCTTAACTGTAATCCCCCTGTAACAGTCCAAAAGCGTACTTCCAACATACAATGGCACAGGATATACATTATCATTCCAAAATGCAGGGAAGTAAGGAAACACTGGACCAAAGCAAGACTGAAAATTCAGCTGGGCAAACCCCAAACTCTCAGCTCCATATCTGATGTCAAAATGCTCTTCACTATCTCCAACTCTGTTCAGCTTTGTTGACCTCAACACACTAATTTCTCTTGGGCTAGTTCCACTCCCTGTTAGCAGCTCTTTTAGGCAGGTATCCCATGACTCTGGCATCTCTAATATCTTGGGTTCTCCAAAGCAATCCAGGTTTCAATTTCACAGCTTCATGAAATGGCCTCTCTACTAGACCTCCATTCAGAAACACCCCTGACACATGCCTGGCCTCAGTTGCTTTATTCTGCAGCTCCTTTATTCCATCCTTAATTCTAAATCCAGAACCACATGGCCAAAGCTGCCAAGTTCTGCTGCGTGCTTGGCCTGGGACATGGTGCCCTTGTCTAATTACATTTTTACCAGCTTTCTGTTTTCTTTCACTGCCTAAATTTAGCTGTCCTTGAACTTGTTCTGTTGACCAGGCTAGCCTCAAACTCCGTGCTAGGGTCAAAGGTGTGCTCCACCACACCCAGCTCTAGAATTTTCTTTAATTCCTTTTCACAAGTTGGAAACTTAGCTGGGTGGGATCTTGTCCTGAGGTCACCACTCCCTTTATTCCATTTCTTAATCTGGTTATCTCCCTGAACTTAGAATTTAGCTCTATTCCAATTCCTGGTGTTCCTTTTCTCCTCAAATTTTTAATTTTGTAATTTACCCTTCTCAGCTTTCTCCTTTTCATTATAAATCTTCTTTTGAGTTACTGCTACTATGCACATGGCAGAGTCTATGCTAGGCTGTTTTGAGATTTCTTCTGCCAATGGAATTAATTTAAAACTCTTCACTTTAGCCTCAGGAAGACTCTGGAAAAGGGCAAAAGGCTCCACTTCCTTCACTAAAATATCACAGGAACAATCTCAAGGCAGCATACTAAACTTCTCCAAAACCTCTTGAGTTAGCCCCCGACAATTCAAATAACTCTTAGCACCACTGTCTTCCATGCTCCCTCCTACTAGTGTGGCCCATTAAGCAGTGCTTAAAGTATTCCACTGCTTTCATAACCCAAAGTCCAAATTCCTCCAAACAAACCCATGGTCAGGCCTATCACAGCAATACCCAACTCCTGGTACCAACTTCTGTCATAGTTAAGGTTTTTATTGTTGTGAGGAGACACCATGACCATGTGTCTCTTTTCATTGAAGGGGCTGGCTTACAGTTTCAGAGGTCTAGTTCGTTATCATGGCGGCCTGCAGGCAGATGTGCTGGAGCTGAGAGTCCTATACCTTGCAGACAACAGGTGGTTTTTTCCTCATGCTTTGCCTGAAAGTAGAGTCCGGTGTGGTCTCCTCATTTTCAGTTCCCAGTGGTGATCTGGGTTAGAACCAGCCTCACCGTGAACAGAGCCAGTAAGCAAGCTGCCAGTTCCCACCACTAACAACATGGAGTTGAGTGCCCATCTCCCTCCGGGAGCACACAAGGGGTCCCTTTGCACAGTGGCTGAGCCATTCCCACTCCCACCAGGCCATGTTCCCCTGTGGAGTTTGGTTTCCAGAAGAGCATGTCTCCTACCGTGTCAATATCAGCTGGTCATATAAGATGAAAGTCTTTACTCTAATTTCAGTTTACATGTCACAGTGTGTCAGCTGTCCATGCTGTAGAACAAAACACTGGGTCCAGATACCCCTGGCCTCAGATCTCCTAAGGCTGTGTCAGCCTTCTCTGAAGCCTGGGAAGGGTTGTCCTCTCATACACTCCTGGGGCTGGCAGACCTCCTTTCCTGACTCACAGCCAAGCCTGGCCGCCCACAGCAAGCAACCTAGGAGAGGGCATCCCCTGGGAAAAAGATAGGGGTGCTAGTCCTTCAAGGTTTTAAACAACTCCTGGTCTTTATAGTCATTCATTTTGATGACAAGTCAGGTGCATGCCAGCTAGCCTTTCTGGATGGACTTTACCTCTCACTGGATAAGGGAAAATCTGGAGAATGTTCAGAATCAACGCCGTGCTGGGAAGCATGGTGAAGTCACAAAACTGAAGGTTTGCTTCCATAGTTCCAACAACTCTTAGCCCCAGCCCTACAGGCAGCAAAGCTTAGGAATTAGGAGTTAGGACTGAAAGCCCTTGCTAAACTGTCCACTTAGGAAAGTACCGGCCCCTGACATGTGCTCTGCTGTCATTAGCCGGCATTCATCCAGGACTCTAGTTCAGACTGCTAAGGAGGATTAAGAGAAGGGGAATGCTTAAGGCACATCTCTCCCCATTCATCCACACGGCCCCACAGCCTTAAGTAGCCGCTCTCCTAGACTGGCCAGGCAGGAGCCGCAATGAAGCCAGCGAACCTTGACTAACCTAATCCATGCCCCTGGTCACATGTAGACAGAACAAAATAAACACAAGGTTAATAACCTACTGGGGGTGGGGGTGGGGATGGGAGGGGTTCCCCAGTGCTAAGTTACCAATCATGGTGACCAGACAGTGGGTAGAGGCCCAGCCTGTCCTGCAGCATGAATGCAAAGTGGTCAGTAAGATTGTGAGTCCAGGCACTGTGGGTCATCCTGAGGTTCTGGAGAAACTCTCTTCCCTGGAGGTCATGCCAAACATCAAAGTGAGTGGCTACCGGGAATCCAAGACACCCACACCTCACCCGGCTGGGCAAGTGGTTGCAGGAAGGTGTGAATCCAGGACAGGAGTCCTACAGTGTCAACTTGTGTGGGAGCTGGAGGTGGGACACTGGACAAAGTAAGGCAGAGAGTAGATGCAGATCAGGAAGCTAGTCAGACAGGGAATGCATGAAAAAGCCTTGATCCCGTGGGTTTTCGTCGCAGCCACATCCCAGTGTGTGAAGAGGTGCCTGAACCAGGATAGGAGGCCTGCTGTGAGAGCTCTAACTGCTAGAGTCAGGTCAGGCTAAGATCTGAGAACACTGGCTCTCTGGAGTGCCATGGCAGAAACAAGAAACACACACACACACACACACACACACACACACACACGCTAGCCCAGTACAACATGGTGGTGGTTCCCAGAATCACAGCCTTACCCAGTGGGCCACCCATGCCAGCGTCCCCAAGTCCTGACCCCAGGATGAAGATAATTTGAGCTGCTGCCACTTGAATGTCAGATGCTCAAGCCATTCCCCAGAATCCTAAGGAAGTGCAAACCTGGAGACCAAGGCTCCTTCCTGGGGTCCCTTAGATTAGTTTCTACATCTGCCCTACTGGGCAGCTGTGGGCTTTCTGAGCCAGAGTCCTGACCCCTGTAGCCAGCACTGCTTCCCACATATACTAACCTTCTCTCGGTGGCTAGCTGTGTACTGCCGGGTCCTATTTATACACCTGCCTCCTAGGCCCACTGTCAGGGGGGCAGAAGGCAGACACACAACACCCCAACCTGATAACTTCACCAGGACCCTGAGGGGAAATGGCTTGAATTCACAGTGGAGACAGGTGGGGGCAGGTAGAAAGAGGGAAGGACATGGAATGGGCAGCAAGAGGAGCGATACAAGCAGTGGGCATGACCACAAAGGGGTGTTGAAAAAGTGGAGACACATAGGAGCGTGAGTGGGGGCCCTGCAGATGAGCTGGGTATGACTGGGATTCCTAGAGAAGGGGCCCAGCACCCACAGACCCTATGGACCTGAAGCCCTTACATCTGGAAGATGTACACAGCTGCAGTTGCCCCATAGGGTACGCTGTGCAGGAGACACCTGCCCAGACTCTGCATCAGTCTTCTGAAAGACTGTGGGCAGGGACTGAGAGAAGGGGTGGACTCCAGAGTGGTACCCAGATGCACTATCAGAGAGGACTGGGCGGCTAAGGTGGCTAAGGTGACAGGGCTTCCTGCGGGCCAGTCTAGTGCGGCGGACACTACCAGCTACAAACCCACTGAGTGAGCTGCACTGGCCATCTCTCTGGCTGGAGATGGTAGCAGATACTTGCACACAGGAGTCTAGAGACCGAGAGGCAGCACTTGACTAGAAATGCACATCAGGGTATCTCAGGCTAGGTGTCCATCATGGCTGCGAAGCTGGGTGACGGGACCGAGCAGTATGTGGCGAGCTGGGATGCAGGAGGGACCCCGGGACAGCAGTCCCAGGGTGACGGCAGTCCATCGCTGGAGCACAGGTGAGGAGGTCGGGAGTGGGGAAGTCTCTCTCATAAGGCCAGAAGAGTGAGCCTGCAGCACATACCCTAACCATATCCCCCTTCCTCATCCCCCCTAACACCTGGTTGTAGATACCCTGATAGGCACAGCCCTGGGTACCACTCCCACCCCAGAATGAAGCAGGCTCTCACTTGCCAGAAACCCACAGCTCGGAAATTTCTAACTGATAACCAGATGCATGAAACCCCTGCTGACACTGAACTGACAGGGCTAGCAGTGGAGGCAGGCATTATTCTTATACAGGAGGAGATGGATGCTCCCAGAAGCAAGAACAAGCCCCGGTGGTGACACCAAGTGACGATACTCGCACCGTGCTGCTGCTGGCAGGACCTGGCTACAAAGCAACTTCTGGTTGCACTCTAGCATCTCCTTCCTCCACGGGAGCAGGTCCCAGCTTCACTGCAGCCACAGTGAGCCCTACTAGGAGAGACGTACCCTTGCCTAACTAATGCCCATCCTTGTTTCACAAGCCCCTGCACATGGCCTCCATACCTGCCCAGGTGCCACTTTGCTCACAGCGTATTTTTATCTTTTTTGAACATTTAACATAGTCTCCATATAACAAATCTTCTACCTTTTATTTTTCTAACGACATCTTAAGGGTCTGAGCTCAGTGGTTAAGAGCGCACACTGCTCTTGCAGAGGACCACGTCCAGTTCCTAGCACCCACACCAGTTGGCTCACAATCACCTGTAACTCCAGCACTGAGAGATCCAACACTAGACACCATCTACTGGCTTCAGGCACTGGACATACCGACACACAGACACAAGAGTATACATTATTAACAATAATAAATAAATAAATATTTTAAAACATTGGAAGCAAAACTGATTATAGACAGTTTAAAACCCTCAGCATTGGAAAGGAGCATTTTATATTTATTTGTTTATATGCTTAGATATATTTAAAAAACAAATACCACCAATATTACTACATTAAAAGAAATTACCAGAGAAGAGGAGTAAATTGGACTCACACAAAACAAATGAATAGCAAGTATAAATGGTGGAATTGGAAACTATAGGTCTTTTCCCCCATCAAAAGCGCGGGCTCAGGTGCTTCACTGGCAATTCTATCCTCACACTCAGGAGCAGAGAGCCAGCTGACATCATAAGCCAGTGTCACGAAAGCACTGAGACCTGTGCTAGGCACTTCCCTAGTCACTGTACCAAGAAGCTGGGTAAAGGGAAGAAGGACTTTTTCTGTCACTGTTTGAGAGGGTGCAGTCCTCCATAGGAGGGGAGGGCATGGTGGCTGGAGTGACTGGGTCTGTGGCAGCGGGCATGTAAGGCTGCTTGTTCACATCTCAGTGGATGAGGAAACAATTCCATCTGGAACCAGGGCCAACACTAACCCTCAAAGACCACCTATCCCCCAGTGACCTAGTTTCTCCAACAAGACCTCACCCCCTAAAGAATCCACAACTTTCAAAAATGGCACCACTTGCTGGGAACCAAGTGTTTTTTAAACACACGAGCCTGTGGGAGACACTTCACATTCAAGCCACAACACACCCTTAGACCTTGAACAATATATAAGTGCATTGAAACCACCAAGATACAGAAATATAGAATCATTGCATGGTGAGGTGGGTTTCATCCCCAGAATGCAAAGTTAGTTCAACACTTGAATATTAATATCTAACAATGTATTATCTAACAGATGGTCTGAGCAAGGTTACAGGATATGAAATCAGAATGTAAAATAGGCATGAGGCTACATGAGTAATCGCAACATGCCTCCAGGAGGACAAGGCAATGAGATCCAAGTTCAAGGCAAGCTTGGACTACATGGAGAGATTCTATCTCAAAAGAAAGGAAATCACCTTGCAAAAATTAAAAATACTTCTATATACTAACAATTGATGATCCAAAATTAAGTACACAGATCCACGCCAAGTGTGGAGGCATAATCCCAGCTCTCAACAGGCTAGGGTAGGAGGATCATGAGGTAGGGGCCAGCCTGGACCTCATGAGATCTTGTCTCTCAACACTAAACTGAATTGTAATAAGAGGAATCAGAGGGCAAGTGTGCTGTCACCATCACTATGGCAACAATGCCATGATGATCTATTGACAGTGTTCTGTACTGTTAATGTTACCCTGAGAGTGTGCTGACAGACTGTGGAAGCCATCAGTACCCTAGAAACAGAGTGATGATGACATTAACAGTCGGTTCATGCCACAGGTTGTGGTGATATCTTGCTTGTACAAATAAACTCCATGTACAACAGATGCTCTGACAGTGTGTGGGACACCACCAATACTCTGTTGACAGAGTATGGACTCCAATAGTGTGTTGGTGGAACATACACATCACGGATTCTGCATGGGTAGAGTACAGATGGGTGTATACAGATGCCACTGGCACTCTGTTGATGGAGCATGGATGCCATCAACATTTTTGATAGACTGTGGGTGCCACTAGCCACTGTTGTCAGTGTGTTGACAATAATGGGTAGTGATTGACTGCTGAGACTCAATTGACAATATACTGAAGTACAAACCCTGTTGGTGGTGTGTAACCTCATTGCCACTCTGATAAGAGTTGTGTTGACACCACAACCAAAAGTGCTCCAAAAGTGCTGAATTCACTTTTTGCATCTGTGGCAGGGCCTGTCTTTTCCAGCCCCATGTTCACAGATGTCTCATTCCATCTCCCACTCAGTGAGCTCTCCTGGTTTCCTGGCCCTGCTCCGTCCCAGACAGCCACTGCTGGCCTACAGAGCTATTTAAGTCAAAACTGGATGATGTGAAATGGGACAGAGGTCTGAGCCTGTTCACCTAGCACATCAAGGGCTCCATGGTCGCACGGGGCTCCTCTCTGCCACAGCTGACATTTGCACCTCCAGAGGGTCCACTGGGAGCTCCAGTGTCTGTGTTCTTGTGAACTCTACTCCCAGATTTGAGGTGACAACTGCTAGTCTTCTGCATTTTGGTTTTTGTGGGTTGTTTTTTGTTTTTTGTTTGTTTGTTTTCTTTTTTTTGGTTGGTTGGTTGGGTTTTTTGTTTGTTTGTTTGTTTGTTTGTTTGTTTGCATTGAAAAAAATTCCATTGAAGAGTGGCCTCCAGGTCCATGTGTCCATGGGGAACATGTTTTCCTCCTGCTACCTGACAGCTGACTTGGTGGATTCCATAGAACACAGACTGCACTGGATCAAGAGCTGCCCATGCATGTAAAGTGCCATGCACCGATGCCAGCAGAGGTGACCCTAGGCAGCCGGAGAAGGGCTGTGATGAGCACAGGGTACAGGCCCAGACCAGGAGGGTTAACTTTCTCATGCCTACTGCCATCCCAGGGAAATTCATTTATTTTGTTCCCAAAACAGCCTTTAGATGAGCAAGCCAACAGCACTGACTCCTGGCCCACATCTTGGCTCTCGGAGGAGGGCTGGCCAGGAAAGTAAGCCAAGCCAATCCCTGGGAAAGCTGAGACTAGAGATGGGGAGGCCCACTTGGAGCAGGCAGCTCCCATGGCACCAAGCAGGATGAGAGGACAGAGGAAGAGCCATCATACCCAGGGGAGGCTGAGGGTGTGGCCAGCATCAGGGGCCTCAGCTGGGTGGCGCTGCATACAGGGCGGGCCTCGGCCTTTGTGTGGGGGAACATCTGGTTCTGATCCTTGTCATCCAGAGTGACAAAAGTATTCTGGGTGGCAAGGGAAGGGCCTCGAGTTCTGACATCTCCTCCACAGGCATGCAGGGTGGTGGGGAATATTATTTTTAAGTGTGTGACTTTTGTTTATGTTGCATTTGTTTAAATCTGTGAAGCTGTGATTCTTTGCCTGTCTAAAACACCTGATGATCTAATAAAGAGCTGAATGGCCAATAGCGAGGCAGAAGCAAGGCCAGGTGGGGCTGGCAGGCAGAGAGGAGAAATAGGAGGAGAAATCTGGGAGAAGGAAGGGATCTAGGGAATGAGAGAGGAAGGAGACAAAATTCAGGGGCCAGCCACCCAGCCACCCAGAAGCACAGCCAGACACGGAGTAAGAAGGAAAGAAAAGGTATACAGGAATAGAGAAAGATAAAAGCCCCAGGGCCAAAGATAAATGGGATCATTTAAGAAAAGTGGCAAGAAACAAGCCAAGTTAGAGCTGGGCATTCAAAACTAAGAATAAGCCTCAGTGTGTGATTTATTTGAGAGCTGGATGGTAGGCCCCCCAAAAAACTAAAGAGCCAAAAGAGCAAAACATCACACAGCAGCAGATCCACTCGTGGGGTCCACAGGGTTGGCAGATCCTGTTAAGACCAGCCTCACCTGGCACACCGGCCATTGCTGGGAGCTGTGTGCTATCAGCTGAGAAACAGAGAATGGGGCGGGCGGGCCATGGCTAGGGAGCAGTGCCGGCATGACCTCTGGTGGCCCAGGACTGGGGATAGGTGTGAACTCATCCTCGATACCTTCAGAATTCTCAAGCATCGCCATTCCCGTGTAAGACTTTTGTGTTTGTGTGGGGAGAAGGCTCAACGCTGAAGAGCCTAGCGTTCCAGCTCCTTCCACAGAGCTGCCCTAGATCACTATTCTGAGGCACTCAGAACACTCTCTGCCCCGGGTCTGTTTTCTGCTTTAAATTTCAGACTCTATAACTCTACACCCTGCTGGCTCCACATCTATCCATGTCTTCAATGTCCCCACCCTTCAGATGCGCCTTGCATGGGACTCACCTGGCTCTTGTGGAGAAGCCACGATCCGGGAGACCGAGCTGAGCAAGCCGCTGCACATTGGTGTGGTGAGGATGCTGTGCCTAGCTCTCTTGCATCGGTTCCTTAGGATGGACACTTCCTGCCCCCAAGCCTGAGGCCCCTTTGGCTGGTAACCTGCAGGGACACACTGCCAGGGTAAGTATGACATGTTGAGGGGACATGAGCTTGGCTCGGCATGAGTGCTTTTCTCTTGTGTCATAACTGTAGCCCTGTCTTTTCTCTTTCTACAACCAAGTCCAAATTAACATGTTCCTCAAGTCATTTGACTCTGCAAAGCTACCTCAAGACCAAGCTACTTAGAGGGCTGAGTGGGGTCTGAGAGCGTTTATGCTGTTGGGCTCCTGATGGAATGAGCCTGGCATTATCTGGCAAGAGTGGCTGTGGGGACCAAGGCAAGTGACCCTCTGGCCACATATGCCAAGGTCCTGCTCTCTGAAACCTAGCAAAGAACATTATATCATTCAATTGTCATGTGCTCTTTGAGTTCACTGAGATGTTGGGTTGTACCCTCCCTGCCTCAGACCCAAGCACGTTTGTGTCAAGTGTCCTGCGACTCAACCCGAGATGGGAAACAGCCTAAGAATAGAAACACTGTGTTCTTGAGAACAGCTAGAAGGGAAGCCATTTCCAACAGAGGCTACTACTGTTTATCACACGGTATAAAAGTGCCTGCAGTAGAAGTGGAGAGTGGAAGTTCAGCCATGGAGAGCAAGCTCAAGCTGAGCCCCAGCTGACTGCCTCAACCTCCCTGTCTGTTTCTGATGGATGATGTTATCTGCCTTCTGCCCTTGGCCCTTTCAGTGGGAAGCTCATTCATGGCAAATCTACTCTGCTGTCGGGACTCTTGACTGAGAATTCGAGCATGGTCACTCAGGCATGGCTTCCCTAGTCATCTGGATACTGTGGATGCCCCGGTTTGATGGGGTTTTGTTATCCAGCAGCTGCTTCTATCTGCTCCTTACTGTCTATTCTTTTCCTTGTGCACAGTGTATACTTAATAGATAAAAACACTCATTTGACATGGAAAGCCGTCTCCATACTGCACAGAACATCACCTCAGCTGTAAATGAACTTGTCCTAAAGTTCTGCCTCCTGTGACCCCTGGCCTCTGACAGGCACAAATCTGAGGCCTCCCCCAACCAAACCTTAAGGCAAAGTTAACCTCAGCTAAAATCACTCCCAAGTCACTAAGGATGGGACTCCCCTCAGCTCCCTGCTGAGGTGGAAATATGGAGAAACAGAAAGTGCCCAGAGAAGAAGTGAGGCAGGAGGTGTCCTTGAGTATTTGGGCTGTCTCAGGAGTCTGAACACTGCCTTGGGGGAGAGCACTGTGAGGTAACAGCCCTGTGAGGCTAGGCATCTAAGACTTCTCTGTCAGTGGGCATGGCCCTGAGTGCCCACAGTGTCCCAGGGTTGGTGGATGATGGGTGGGTCCCTGGGCCCGAACATGCCACCAATAGAACTCACAGCTTTTACATAGGAATTCCCTGGGGCCCCTGGAGCAGAGATAAATCCCAGGCCTGACCCCCAGCCCAGCTCTGAGATGCTCCAGGGATACACTGGGCCACAGCTGCAGCCACCCACAGAGGAGGCTGCGTCCCAGCGCTGGGGAGGCATGTGGCAAAGCAGAGTACATACTTCTGTCCAAAAATAGATTTTATCTGAAGAAGAAGCAGATGGGGAGGGAGTCGGCTCCTTCTTTAATGGAAAGTGCAGGAAGCAGGAGGGAGCCTGCCTGGCCTAGCCCCACTCCTCCAGTCCCTGAGGACAAGCTTGGAACCCCCCACAGATCCTGGGGCACTTAAGCAGCTGGTGAGGTCTGACCATCCAGGGGAAGAGGTTGGGCAGGTGTCCTGAGGGAGCTGGCTTGAGGAACCTCATGTCCCTTCCTCCCTTGGCCCAGGCTGAAGGCTCCCAACCCACCAGGTGTGGTGTAACCAAGGCCACAGACAGCATGTGAGAGCCTTCGGCTAGATACCCTGGCTGGGCGGATGAACAAGGGACTCCTGAGTGGTCACCGGGTAGCTGCCTCCAAGCCAGTTCAGGACCTCTGCTCTGTGGCCCAGGGTTGTTAAACTGCAAGATTGGCAAGGGAGACCAGTGAAGAATCGAGAATGTAGCTGCCAGTTATTCTGGACTTTACTATTCCCTATTCCAGCCTATTCCCACTGCTCTACAGCTGACTCTAGGTCTCTTCTGTCAAGGCCTCCAGGCCTCAGCTGTGTCATCACTCATGATGTCATTGCTCCTAGCCTCACTGTCCAGCACCCAAGGACTCAGTTTCCATGTTTCTCATGGAAACAGTCTGTTCATTTGACCAAACCTACTCTCTTCATCCAGGATAATTATTCTCATAAGACCAGGTTAAACGGAGTCTTTGGGACCAGAAGTGTCTTACAGAGAGGTCTAGGTCCACACCCAGCTGAGGGCCCATTTATTCCCCCCGGGTCGTGTGCCTTTGAGCCCTGGTGTGGACCACAGAAAAGTGTCTGTAGCAACAGAGACACCAGATGCAAACTTGTGCTCACACGTGCACGCTCGCACACACAAAATCAAATAAAGCATCACACACACACACACACACACACACACACACACACACACACGTCTTGGATGAGGGGAGGCCCAAGATACTCACAGGCATTTACAAAGCCTTGTTAGGATTCCCAATAGCACAGTAAAAAATGTCCACGCCCAGAAGTCATGAACACCCAAGCCTCAAACACAGCACAGGGACAACATGTTCACCTGTGCCTTGGCGCCATGAATTGTATGCTCTTAGCTCATGCCACACAAAAACCTGGTCCACCAAACTGAGCTGGAACCCTGTGCTCTGGCTGGGACACACAGGACCTGTAGTCTGGAAAGCCCGAGTTGTGATGGGGACACACATCCTTGCTTGCACAGGTGTCCTGTGAGCAGTCCAAGAATAGACACTAAAGGTCCTTAGGTGGCAGGAAGCGTGAAAATCATGGGTCTCTGGAGGCTGGACCACATCAGCCTGCCACATTACCACACTCCCAGTTAGGAGTGGGAGCTGATGGCCTTCAGAAAGGCCAAGCTTTAGCTTCAGAACCCACTGCCAGAGAGAGCTGACACCACAGAGATTGAACCTGGGCAGAAAGCATGGTTACACTGGAACTCTCCAGGAGCGGGGCTGCTGGGGGAGGGGGGGCACTGCTGCTCCGGAGCTGCTGAAGTCATGCAAAGAGTGCACTTCCTGCTTCCCACCTGCCTTTTATGGGCAGCCACATGGCCATCAGGACATTGAGGCCCTGGACCCTGGCATGAAGGTTGGTGCTGGAGTGACAGTGTAGGAAAGCCGAGAACACAGGAGTCACACAGCGTACCACGTGGTTCTGTACAGCTGCTTCGAGTGGGTTGCAAATCGAGTGGTGAGCTTCCTGGCAGGCAGTGCGCAGAGGGAAAGCAACCTGACCTTAAGATGACAATAAATGCTTTTGCCCTGCTTCCCAGAAGCATCCAGGGCAATCCTGGAGGCCGAAGGAGCTTGGCTTGGTGCTTTTTGGTTAAGAGTTTGAGACAAACAGGGAAGAGCAAGCCCCCCCCCTTACCTTGTAAACAAGATAGACATTTAAGGACAGGGCAGCCCCCGGAGATTATTTTGTTTCCCAGGGTCACAGCACAGCCCGGGCCAGGGCAGGGGCGTTCGGGAAACACAAGGAGTGATTCACAGATGTTTCTGGAAGTGTTTCTCCCCCTTCCTTCAGCTGGAGGTACAGGGCTCCCAGCCGGTGCTGCCTCTCACTCTCCCTCAATCCTCCACTAAATAGTGCCTGGGGCCCTCTGTCTCCCTTCTGTGCCCCCTCTAAATATAAAGCACGGCCTGACCTGGTAGTCACATCACTCTCCACCAACCTAACCCATCAGGGCAACGGCTGCCTGGCCACCCTGCTATATCCAGGCTCCTGATGGTTTTGCACAAGTTCTGGGTCACTTTGCCATAGTCCACTCATCCAGTCTGTGGATGGATTCACTGTCCGAGCACCAGCTGACCATAAACTCAAGCATTCCATGCTCACTGACAGAGTGCCACATCCACCTCACCATGAAAGTAGGGGCTGGCTCACCTCCCAGGGCTCAGGGGAAAGCTGGCAGATACCTACAGAAGCCTTGGTGGGAGACTGCATAGCCCTCTCTGAGACTTGAGGGTTATAAATATCAAACAACAAAAATGGAGTGTCCAATTTGTCTGATGAAAAAAAAAAAAAAACTAAGAGTGAAGGACCAGTGTCCCTGAGGTTTCTGCAATATAGCCCGGAACCCACTGAGCCCATCAGGGGGGTGAGGGGGACACACAGGCCATGCATGGCCTTGATCGTGGCTGATTTCTTTGCTGCATCTTAGGCTTAGGAATGAAGCAGAGGTCACACTGTCTGTGACAAAGGGCGTACCAGCTTTTGGAACTGTTCACGTGGACAGACACCTGGATAAAAGTATAACCAACAAGGCCCCGCTGTGGGATAGGACTGTTATCCTCAGGCCTGTAACCATCCATCCGGACCTCAGGTGGGCAGAACTTGTGATGGTGATATCTTAGATAGATAGGGTTGTCCCACACTCTTCCTATGTCAGTCTGTGATGGGGCCACTGAAATATAGCCATCTCCTCCCAAGGTTAGCACCTGTCAAAATCTATGATGTTCACACGTGTAGGACACCTGCCTTGAACTTTGGAGGGACAATGGTGACAGAGTACACCCCAGAACCTAGGACAGCGCTGACATGAATGCCTGGCCTCCCTGGATTCCACCTTCAAAACCGGGCCCCTCCTGAGCCATCCCAGAGGCCCATGACAAGCAGGAACTGTCCCTCGGAGACAGAGTCTTGGCTTCTGGGTGGTCAGATGATGGTCTGTGTGAGTCACTTGGCCCGTGAGGGAGCCATGCTGGCTCCCTACACCCACATGTCATGGTCCCAGCCCAAGTGTTTTCCACACTCCTTTGTGTTCCCAACAATTCTAGGAAACTTTTATAACCTTGTAAAAGACGAAGAAGTCAGAATTGGAAGGAGAAGCCTAGCTGACTAGCTGGGGGAGGGTGGGAAGGGGCAAGCAGCTCAAGACAGAACCATGGAGGGGGAGCAGCCAGCTCAGGGTGGGCCTGTCTCTTTCTTGTGCTCTGAGTCTTGGGTCCCTTGGGCTTGGCTCCCCTCCCTTCCAGACCTAGGCTCTTTCTAAGAGCGAAGTACCGACTCTACCCACAGCTCTTCTCACACAAGGACATGTTCTGATCTATTGGGAGGTGTCCTTGTGTCCCCTAGAACCCTTCCGGGACCATCTCCCAGCATAACCCCCAGGGACTGTGCACTGCCGGCTGTCCACTTTCATCGACTTCCTCTCACCGGGTCCTGTCCATGTTCCTGTCCACTGGCAACTCAGCTCCTTGGGTAGCAGAGCATGAGTTTCTGGTGTGGACACAGGCTGATTCCTTTTGTCATTTCTCTGAAGGTCTGGGGAGATGGAAGATTGCAGCTCATAAACCCAGCCTCTGTATTAAAGGAATGGCCTTCTCTTTCCACCTGATGACATGGGTTCTCTCTTCCTGACTACAGGCTCTCCAGAGTCTTGATTTAGGGCTTTTGTAGAAACACTGTACCTCAGTACTTTGAGAAAGAAAGAACCCATGAAGGCCAGCTGTGGTGCCATGCATCTGTACTCTCAGCACTCCAGAGGCAGACAGAGGTCGGTGGAGCTCTATGAGTTCAAAACCTGGCAAGTTCCATGCCACTCAGGGCTACATTCCCTGCTCATGAAGGCGTCTAAATTGGCTCGAGAGGAGGAGATAGGAGTCTCAGTAGCTCCTGCACCCCAAAAACTATTCAAAGAGGTAAAGACAGCTCAACACCTTCAGGGTGTTTACTGTCCCTTGCTTCTGACAAGAAAGCATGAACGAAGGCTAAGAGCCCAGTGTCATAGAGCATTGTGGTTTGGGAGACTAAAGAACAGAGAACAGAGGTTTGAGGGTTGAAAATGTTATCAAGGCTCACACTTAACTGTGTGGTGAGG